ATGTGAATTTTATCTCAATAAATCTGTTAACAAGAAGAGAGAAACAGAGTTAGATAATGTTCCCGAATGCCTCTAAAAGTAAACAAAACTAAACACACTCTTGTTACCCAGTGAGTAGCTGGATCAATTTCCCATCCCAGATGTTTTCCTTATTTCCTGCCTTTGAGCTGTACTCTATAATTTAGTATTAGCAGAATGTTAATAAAGACAACATATCCTTTGTTGCTAAATTTTACATAGTGTTTACCATTCTCCTCCCGCATACACATTTCCTCTGTTTTCCAACTGCAGCTGGGCTGCCAAAGCCTTGTAGAGAGAGTAATTACCCTTCTCCACCCTCCTGGTTTCACAACAGTACATAAATCCAATGTCTACATTAAGCCAATGGTTTGCTTGCCTCTCTAGGTCTTAAACTCACCAAATCGCTCACTGAACTCTGAGAGGCTTCCCCTCTTTTTGAAGACAAGAACAGGATAAATGGCAAAATTTATTATTTCCAGATCGCTTTTTCAAAGGCTACTTCCCTCGGCAGAAAGAAATTCTGTTTTGTTTTCTTTTTCTTCTTTGAGACAGGGTCTCACTACGTAGGCCTGACTTTGAACTCATGAGCTTCCTGAGTGCTGGGATTACTGGTGCAAGCCACCACACCCATCCCTTTTTCCTCTAAAGACAATGTATGGATTTTCAAGAAATACTAAGAGGGGTTTGTATCAAAGTTTAGTCACAATTTGCCCTATCCCTGCCCTGAGAGTACTTTTTGAGTCTGATATCTACATCCAGCCATTTAACAGCTTTCTCTCACAATGTTCCCTAGACTGGGATAGAGACATGGCTGAACATGATCTCTCTGCAAGTTAGTGGAACCTTGTTCTCTCAGAGCATTTATTTTCTATAATTCACTGTATAATTTCTTAACTTTCCATAATCTGAAAAGTCCTTTCCTACAAATATTTAGAACAGACTATAAGACCCATCTCTTCAGTAGTCTATAAATGAGGCATTTTATTCATTAAGTCACCATGTCATGTTTTATCTATAAGCAATTTAATTCCATATTTGTATTCTTGGTCAATCCTATAAGAGATACAATCTTTTTTCTTTTAATTGTGAAATTAAAAGGGTAGTTAACATTTCACTCTAGCAATAAAGTAAATGCTAAGGAGAATTTTTGAATTTTAACCATGAATTTTATATCCACAAATTTATTAGTATTATACAGAAAGCTTAAAACAAAAACATTCACCTCTTACCCGAAAGAATATGAGTTTAAAGTCACTCTACACCCTCATAAACTCTTGGTGGGGATGTAAAACGATGTAGCCAGTTTGGAAAACAGCCTGACAGTACCTCAAGTGGTTAAACATGGAGATGCATATAATCTAGCAATTCCATTTATGTGCATATGCCCAAGAAAAATGAAAATATATTATATTAGTCAACTTTCTATTACTATAACAGCACATCTGGATAACTTACAGGTTGGATAATTTATTAAAAAAAAAAAAAAAAGAAGAAGTTTATTTAGCTCATTGCTTTAGAGGCTGGAAGTCCAAATGGCATTGTACTAGCTCCGGCAAGGGCCACCCAGCTGTATCACAGGCAGACACCATAATGGCAAGCGTGCATGTGAAAGGGAGGGACAGGCTTGTTCTTGCATAACAACCATCTCTGGAGAACTGCCCAGGGTCCAGCAAGAACTACATTTCTTCTTTTTTTTTTTTAATACTTTTTTTGTTTTGTTTTTACATTTATTCTTTCCAAGGGCAGTGTGCTGATGACTCGATTGCCTTTCATTAGGCTCTGTCTCTTAAAGGTTTCATATCACTTCTCAAATACTGCCACATTGGAGACCAAGTTTCCAACATACCAGCCCTTGGGGGACATACTAAACCATACCCTAACCATAGTGCACACACATAGAATAACATGTATGTATATGAATGCCCATAGCAGCATTATTCATAACAACCGGAACACTCATCAACTAATGAATGGATAAACAAAATGTGGTATAATAATACAATGGAATATTACTTGGCAATAAAAAAGAATAAAGTGCCAATTCATACTACAATATTGATAAAAGTTTAAGATATTATGCTAAGTGAAAGAAGCAAATCAGAAAAACCATATATTGTCTGATCCAATTTATATGCAATGTCCAGAACATGCAAATCTATAGAGACAGAGGACAAGTTAGTGGTTGCCTGGGCCTGGGATTTGGGACAGTATGGCAGAGGGATTTGAGAGTGACAGCTAAGTGGTATAGGAAGTTCCTTTGAGGGCAATGAAATGATGTAAAACTGTGATTACAGTTATACAAGTCTATGAATATAAAAGCCATCGATTTTTGCACTTCTAAATGGGTGAGTTGAATGGTATTATATTGATTTATGGTGGAATTATAGCTCAATAAAACTGTTAAAAATTTACACTTAAATTTCCATCAACTGATAAACTGATAAAAAGTGACATACAAAGGAATATATTCCACAATTAAAAGAAACAAAATACTGATATATGTATGTAACAACTTGGATGAACCTCAGAAACATAATGTTAGCCTGGCGCCAATGGCTCACGCCTGTAATTCTAGCTACTTGGGAGGCTGAGAACAGGAGGATCACAGTTTGAGGCCAGCCCAGGCAAATAGTTCATCACACCCCCATCTCTAAAATAACCAGAGACTGTGGACTGAAGGTGTGGCTCAAGTGTTAGAGCACCTGCTTTGCAAGCACAAAGCCCTGAGTTCAAAGCCCAGTCCCACCAAAAAAAAAAAAAAAAAGAAAAAAGAAAAAAGAAGCATTATGTTAAGTGACAGAAACTGAACACAAGCAAATACGGTATGATTCTCTTATATGAAGTATCCACAAAAAGGCAAATCCATACAGGAACAGACAGGTTAATGGTTGCCTAGAGACAGGAGTAGAAGAGGGTGTAACTGTAAATGGCATATCTTTGGGGAATGAAAACATGTTCTAAAACTGTATTATGGTGATAGTTTCACAGATTTGTAAATGTACTAAGAATCACTGAACTATATATTTAAAACAGATGACTTTATGGTATGTAAAGTGTACCTCAATAATCTAACCTTACTTTTTAAAAAAAGACTCTAAAAATGTTTCAAATAGACAAACGACTAACTTTTTACTTTTCACTTTCATTTTTATTTTATTTATTTATTTATGTATTTTGGCAGTACTAGGGTTTGAATTCAGGACTTCACACTGAGAGCAGGCACTCTACCACTTGAGTCGCAGCTCCAGTCCTTTGCTCTGGTTATTTTGGAAATAGGGTCTTGCTTTCTGTCCAAGTCAGCTTGGACCACAATCCTATTTTTTAAAGTTCCTGCCAGGGCAGGAATGACAAGCTGGTGCCACCATGCCAGCTTTCATCCCTCAAGATAGACCTTCGAGATGGACTCTCGAGATGGACCCATGAGATGGACCCTTGCAAACTTTCCTGTCCAGGCTGTCCTGAGCTCCGATCCTCTGATCTCAGCCAAGCAGCTCAGGATGACAGGCATGTGTTGTTGCACCCAGCTATTAGTTGAGATGGGGTCCTGCAAACTCCCTGCCTGGACTGACCTTGATTCAAAATCCTCCAAATCTCATCTCCCAAGTAGCTAGGATTATAGGCATGAGACACCAGCGCCCAGCCCAAGGTATTATGTTAAAGAAATTTTAAAAAATGTTTTCTGCAGTGCTAGGGAACCTAATTTTTTAAATAGACAAAATGCCTGAACAGGCAATTTACAGAGAAGACATGAATGAACCAAAAAACGGTAAAATATTCAATCTCACCAATAATAGAGTAATAATAGAGTAATGCTAGTTAGAAAGATGCACATGTGTGGCTAAGCAGGGTGGTGCACACCTGTACTTCCAGCTTGGTAGGCTGAGGCAGGAGATGTGCTAGAGCCTAGGCCAACCTTGGCAGCACAGTGACACCTCATCTCAAAAAAAGGAAAAAAAAGAAAAATCAAACCTCAGAAGCCAGGCTGAATTCAAGGCCAGCCTGGTCTACAAAGCCAGACTGTGCCTCAAACAAATCAACAAAAAAACACAATGTATCCAACAGACTGGCAAAAATTCGCTGGAAACAACTCAAATGTCTATCAGAAACAATCAAGTAAGGATGGCTGAGACAAAGGAGGGGCATCTCATGATGAAAATTAACAAATTGCAGGTACACATATTATAATACCACTTCAAATCATGCACAGTACACCAGAGCTCAAGAAACAACAAATGCAAAACCAGGATAGTAGTTCCCTATGGGTGTAGAAATGTGACCAGAGATGGGTAGAGTCAATTTCAATTGAACTCTTAATTTTAATTTCTTAACCTGAGTGGTGGGTGCATGTGGGTGTAGTTTTTTGTGTGTGTTTTTTTTTTTTTTGGCATGAACTCAGGGCTTCATGCTTGTGAGGCAGGCTCTCTACTGCTTGAGACAAACCTCCAGTCTGTTCTTCATTTTTTTTGGATGTTTGAACTATTTCATAAAAACATAAAAAATTTATTCAAACTTAATTTCTGCCTAGAAATGTAAAATATATTAGTATTAAGATTAATTCTCATGCATTTGCCACTCACACTCCTAAAATGTATCATTCAGTGCTTTTTAATATATTCAGAAGGTTCTTAGGGCTGGCAGAATGACTCAAGTGGTAGAGCACCTGCCTAGCAAGCGTGAGGCCCTGAGTTCAAACTTCTGTACACACATGTACACAAAAACCTCCACAAGGTTGTGCTGTCACCTTCATTAATCCAGAACATTTCATCACCTAAAAAAGAAACCCTTAAGGCCAGATGTGGTAGTTCACATCTATAATCCCAGCATGTAAAAGCTGAGGCAAGAGGATTGTGAGTTTGAGGCCAACCTGAGCTAGATAGCAAGACTGTGTCTCAAAACAAAAACAAAAACAAAACAGCAAAAACACTTTAAAGACTAGGTACAAAGATTAGCTCAAAACGTTACTGACTTGAATTACTAACCTTAAACACATCTTCAACACATCTATTAAGTTCTTCTTCTGTCACCAAAATGGCCCTGGCACCATGTCACTCTCTGGAATCTCTAGAGAAAGAACAAATACAATTATCCACACGCAGGACCTCACTGAAAAAAAGACACTAATAGAAAGTTTTACTAGTAAGATGGTCCAGCTAAGACCCAAAAATCAACATGACTATCTTTGCACAATATGCCATTCATGGAATCTATGAATATGCACTGTTATTTTATGTGTCACTAAGCAACAAGAAACATTACCAATTAACATAATGATATGTTATCACTTGAAACTTTTATTTTAAATTATTGAATGAAAAATTGGGAACTAAATGAAATGAAATGGCAGAGAGCTGATGTAATCACTATGTAATCTCTATAGGTATATGTCCGAAAATTTCCCTTTAAAAAGTTGGTTTTTTTTTTTTAATGTTTGTTTGGTGGGTCTAGGATTTGAACTCAGGTCTTTGTGCTTGCAAAGCAGGCAGTCTACCACTTGAGCCACACCTCCAGTCCATTTTTCTCTGGTTGTTTCGGAGATGGGGGGGGTCTCATGAACTATTTTCCCAGGCTGACCTGAGCTGACATCCTCCTGATCTCAGCCTCTCAAGCAGCTACAGTGATACTGGGTTTGAACTCAAGGCCTCATGCTTGCTAGATAGGTATCTATCACTTGAGTCACTCTGCCAGTTCTTTTTAGTATTGGAGTATTGTTTTTTTTGTTTGTTTGTTTTCTTTGCGGTACTGGAGTTTGAACTCAGGGCCTACACCTTGAGCCACTCCACCAGCCCTTTTTTATAGTGGGGTTTTTCAAGATAGAGTCTCATAAACTATTTGCCCAGGCTGGCTTAGAAACTCACCTCCTGATCTCTGCCTCCTAAGTAGCTAGGATTACAGGTGTGAGCCACTGGCACCTGGCTTTAAAAAATTTTTAAATAAGCCAGGCATAGTGGTGCACAGCTGTAATTCCAACACTGGGATTATAGTACTGGAGAGGCTGAAATAGGAGAATTGATACTTCCAGGTCAGCCTAGGCTACATAGTAACTCTATATCAAAAACAAAACAAAACAAAAAACATGTTCTAGCTTGAAAAGCAAGTTAGACTAGTCATTTAACAATGATGAGGTATTATTTATTTTTATTTTTTGCAGTGCCTTGTGCATTTTAGGCACGTGCTCTATTGAGCTACACTCCTAGCCTAAAAGGGTCTTTTTGGTTTTTTTGAGACAAGGTCTCACTATGTAGCCCAGGCTGGCCTTCAACTAACTACCTTCCTGCCTCAGCCTCCTGAGAGCTGAGATTACAGGCATGAACCCACACCTGACCTAAAAGGTTTTTAATGTGAAAAAAAGAATGTGTACCTTGGAGATACAATATATGGTAATTCATCATAATTGCCATATAGTCCTAAAATATAGTAATAATTGGAAAAATAGGAAAGCTGATTCTTCAGACAGCTTCTGGTGGCCATGATGCAACTAAGTACGATTAGTAATATCCTTTCCTAGTCCCCTTTGTTATCAACAGATCACACGTGTAAATATGTAGCTAATGCTGCAAATGTATCCTAGCACACGAAGAATCCTAGCATATAGATGTCCAATAAATACCCTGTGAATGAGTGAACAAGCCAGGACAAACACTGAAAGTACTGTATCAGTGTGAAATTTCCTCAGTGTGATCACTGCTTACAGTCATGCAAGAGAATGACATTTTTCTTTGGATATATTTGCTGAAGTATTTAGAGGTGAAGTAGACATGATGCCTACAACTAACTCTCAAATGCTCCAGAAAGACAAAGTTCATGTGTGAAGACAGAAAGTAATCAAATGTGATCAAAATAGGAATAGTTAGTTAATTTAGGTGAAGCGTATATAATACTCTTCTTAGAACTTCTGGGAAGTAAAAAGTTGGGGGTAAAAAAGGAAAACTGAAGACACTAAGGTGCCACAGATCATTTAAATTTGAAACACTGAAGAAGGCCCTTTCAAGGGAGGCCACCTAACCTTCCTCCTTTACCTGTAGTGTTCAAGCACCGGTGAAGAGGAGCTAACACTGGCTGAAGCAAATACTTGGCTGCCAGTTGTGGGTGTTCTCTCGATATAGTTATGAACGTAGTGGTGGCAACTCTCTGGAACTGTCGTGCAGTCAATTTATCTTGAAAATGAAATAAATCTAGAATCTGCAAGAAAAATTACATAAAGCAAACACCAGGCTCTTTATAAGGAATATAATGGTAACTAAGAAGAAAAAACACTTACTTCTTTAAGCAACAAAATAAAATTGCTGCAGTAATACAGAACTGTTTAACTTAACAACCCAGTACCAAAGGGTATGAGCACTAAAGAGGTTATCTTTTGTCAAATACTTTTATCATATTTACAAAATACAGGCTCCTCATTGTAGAAAACTGGAAAAAAAGAAAAAAACTTTTTAAGAAAGAACAAAAAATTTTCCCAAATCACTATAAATACTTTTGGTATATTTTTCCAGCATATTTTCTATTTATTTTTTCTTACATTGAGACCACACTTAATACTCAGTGTTTTGTTTTAGACAGGTCTCACTACATAGCCCAGGCTGGCCTAGAACTTATGAGCCTCCTTCCTCAGTCCCCTAATGCTGGATTGCAGAAGTGCACCACTACATCTGGCTATTACTCAGTTTTGTATATTGCTGAAACTTTCTCATATTGTTATAAATTCCTCAAAAAATACTACACTCAAACTGGCACAGTGGCACGTACAAGAGGTTGAGGAAAAAAAGAGCACTTAAACTCAGGAGTCCAAGGCCAGCCTGGGCAATATAGCAAGGCACTGTCTCAAGAAAAGAAAAGGTTAAAAAAAAAAAAAAAAAGTGAAAGGAGAAACATTATATTCAAGCTGTTTGGGAGTTTATTATAAATTATTCCTTAAATTCCAGACATTGATTCTCTTCTCTCCCAAATTCTGTTATTATTAACACCGTCAAGTGAAATTACTAGTTCAAATGTAGAAATATATTGAGGGTCTGAGGAGCTTGCCTTCTTGCCTTTTCTAAACTATCCTAGATAAGAGACTTTTTTTTTATAGCGGTGCTAGGGTTTGAACTCAGGACCCAGTACTTGTGAGGCAAATGCTCCACCACTTAAGCCATGTCCCCAGACCTTTTTGCTTTAGTTTATTTTTTCACATACAGTCTTAACTTTTTCCCAGGGCTGATCTCAGACCATGATCCTCCCTTCTTCATAGATGGCATTATACCCATGTTCAGCTTGCATTTTTTGAGCTAGGGTCTTGCTAACTTTTTTATTGTGAGTGGGTTACTCCAGTATGGGCAACCAATGAAAAAATCCACTTCTAATTGCTGACTTGAAGGTGACTCTTATGCTTTCTACAGACAAGAAAATCTTCTACCTGGTCAGTCTTTGGCACTGCCAAAGAGAGACTCAGCAAGCCTGAGACCTGGGCTTTGGTTTTATCATTTTCTAAAGTATAGAAACTATAGGTACTAATTCTGGAAAATATTTACTCAACATTGCAAGTAATAAATTTAGTATTTTTCAATATAAGATACCTGCACTGTGATATTTTGTTCCCATGCATGCCTACCTATGAAAACTCTGGAGATCAGCGTAACCACTGAGTGATCTTTGGACTATACTCCATTTAAATCCACAGGTGTATTGAATAAGAAAACCAACTCCACATTTTTCATCTATCAGGTTAGCAAAGATCAAACTCAGAACCCCAGAACCTCACACATGCTAGGCAAGTGCTCTACCACTGAGCTACATCCCCTGTCCTAGAGAGGCATTTTTAAAATTATCATATTATTGTTGTACTGGGGGTACACTGTGACATTTACAAAAGTTCGTTGAATTCACCCCCCACTTCCCATTCCTGGAATTGTTGGTGAGGCATTTTTAAACCTAACAATTAGGTTAATCTCACCCACAGTTTTTTATTTACCTGTTAAGAAGGTCCCTCAGGTGCCAGTGGCTTATCCCTGTAATCCTAGCTACTCAAGAGGCAGAGATCAGGAGGACTGAGGTTTGAGGTCAGTCCAGGCAAGCAGTTCACAAGACACTATCTCGAAAAACCCCATCACAAAAAAGGACTGCTGGAGTGACTCAAGTGGTAGAGAACTGCCTCGCCAGCATTGAAGCCCTAAGTTTGAATCCCAGGGCTGCTCTAAAAAGAAGGTCCCTTACTAAACAACTAACTTAAATGTTATATTGCTCTTACTTTAATGTTAAAGAAATATTAAAATATTAAAAGTCCTCTTTCTGTAAATAAGCAGATATCCTTGATGGTTCAAGAGAAGTAACATGATCTACCTGAGGGCAGATGTCTTTGTAGTAACTCTCTGGAGAAAGAGACTGCTGGGGACAAGAGGCCAAAATCTTTGCAATTAAATCACACTTCTTCCAGTCAGCAGCTGTTGCCTCAGCATCACTCCCACCAGCTGCCCCCGCTGTCGCAACAGAGAAAGATGTCAAACATTCATAGCTGTTCCCTATGAGATTCCATCTGATAAATCTGCTTTAAAACTTAGGGTAAAGAGTGTTTCTGTGCTCATTGGACACTGTTTATTTCTTCTATAAGATGATCTGCCCCTCTTCACTTTCCTTTTGATGCTGGTTTATGAGAAGTTTGTCACTGTAATGATATTTATTCAGGTGACTTGAGTACCAGCTTCTCAGTGTTTATTGCTAGTATTATTATTATTACATTGTCTCTTTATATGCATGATTTCACTTAACTGCTTTAAACTACAACCAATAGGTAATATGGATCAGGTTTAACTTACCATTTTAAATAACTATAAAACTGGACAAAATATATAAACTGATTTTCAGACACTAGACAACAGGCAGCCCAGGACACTGATTACTGAGAGACCAAAGCAACCAAGGTGAACCTGATGGTTACCCTAATTTACTATCTAGGGAGAGTTCAGGCCACACTATACCAAGGACAACCCAAATGAAGCCTAGGATCTGGCTAAGACAAGGAAACAGTTCAGAGTTCAGGGAGGCCAAGACAGCTGGAATTTTCAAGGCAAAATATGAGAAAGGAGGAAGTTATATAGAGAAAGCTCCAGAGATCTGCAGAGGATTCTTCTACCAAGTCTTTAGTGGAATATGGTTTATGGATTTCTATAAGGAAAATACCAAGGGCCAAAGGAAGAACCAACAGAAAGGAACTGATGGAACAATCCTAGAGTTCACAAAGGGGTGAGAATAGCTGGTCTTCCCACATGCCAGAATGGAAGGACCTCCTAATACACAGGCTATCAAGTAGAATCATCAGAAGTGTATATATAGCCTTAGTACCAAAATACCTAACATTGAAGATTTTTGTAGAATCACACTAACCAAGCCAGGGTCACAGGGTTCAAAGAGATTCTAACTAACTTAACTGCATCTCAGAACAAAGCCCAACAAAGAAACACAACAAAATCTAGCACCCAACAATGTAAAGTAAAACTGTTCAGTGTTAAGTTGAAAATTATCAGGCACAAGGATAACAAGGGGTTAGGGATATAGCTCAAGTGGTAGTGTGCCTGTTTAGTAAGTGCAAGGCCCTGAGTTGCCCCAGTACTGCCAAAAAAAAAAAAAAAAAAGTTAAAATAAAAAGCTGGTGGAGTGGCTCAAGTTGTAGAGTGCCTGCCTAGCAAGTGTGAGGCCCTGAGTTCAAACCCTAGTGCCACCAAAAAAAAAAAAGGAAGAGTAACAGGAGGGTGAGTATGATCAAAGTACATTATATGCATGTATAGAAAATCACAGTGTACAATTAATACACACTAATACAAAAATTACCACACATAAAAAGGAAAATAAGATCGACTGATGCAACAGCACAGTAAAACCTTAAAAACATTACGCTAAGTGAAAGAAGCCAGACACAAAAGACCTCATAATGTATGTTTCTATTTGTATGTACTGTCAATATAGGCAAATCCTTAGAGACAGATAGTAGATTTGCACTTACTAGCTGGGATGAGAGGAGTATGGGGAATATTGGTTGCTAATGAGTAAGAGGCATTTTGGTGGATGGAGAGTTTGATGAAAATGGTCTGGAATTAGAAATTGGTGGTGGTTGCACAACTTTGTGAACATACTAAAATATTCATTGAATTTACTCTAAAAAGACAAATTTTAAGCCAGGTATGATGGTACCCTTCTATAGTCCCAGCATTTGGGAAACTAAGGCAGGAGGTTCACAAGTTTGAGGAAAGCCTGAACTACAAAGTGAGACCATATATCAAAACACAAAGCAAAATAAATAAATAAAAAAATAAAAGCTAAAAGAATTCATTGCTTCACTGCCAGTAGACCTAATAGGTAACAATAAATACACATATGCACAAACGGTGCGGGGGGGTACTCATAGAAAAATAGCGACCTAATTCTCTTATAACAGCTCTCCAATGTGCATGTCTTTGAGTAAAATCTAACTTTTTTTTTTTTTTTTGCAGTGCTGGGGAGGGAACCCAGGGCCTCAAGCATGCTAGGCAAGCACACTACCACTGAGCTGTATCTCCAGCCCAAAATCAGACATTGTAAATAAAGACTAAAGGCCAGTGATTTACCTCAGTCTGTGACTCAAAGGCAAATGGATACTAAAGTAACAGAGATAAATTATTTCTTACCACCTGCTCCTTCCAAAATGCCCCGGACTACTGCCTGAACACCACTGGGCCTCATTAACCTCTCAGAGAGCAGTTGCCCACATAGACACCGAAGCCAGGCTGGGGCCTGACACCTCAGGTGTGTCTTCACATCTGTGCAGGACTGGTGAAAGGAAGGAAAGATATGAATAATGATTATCAATGAAGCAGATAAAATATGGAGAATTTTTTTTTAAAGTACTGAGTCATACTGACAAATCAACGTGCTCTATAGACCAAAAGAGCAACATCTTAGGGCTGGGGATGTAGCTCAGTGGTAGAGCACGTGCTTAGCATATGCAGAACCCTGGGTTCAATCCCCAGCACCAGCAATAATTTTTCTTTACAAAACAACAAAAAAGAGTGTCAACCTAGCAAGTGTGAAGTCCTGAGTTCAAATACCAGTACCCCTCCCCCACTCCAAAAAAAAAAACACCTCTCAACAGGACATGGTGTACATACCTGTATCCTTAGCACTTGATGGCAAATTTAAGGCCAGGCTAGACTATATAGTAAGTAAGAGGCCATCCTGGGTTACAAAGCAAGACCCTGTCTACACACACACACACACACACACACAAAACAGGGCCAGGTGCAGGGGTGCACATCTGTAATCCCAGTTACTCAGTAAGGAGAAATAAGAGGATCATGGTCTGAAGCCAGATGGCCAAAGACACAAGACCCTATCTAAAAGATTAAAAGCAAATTACCAGGGGCATGGTTCAAGTGGGAAAGGGCTTGCCTAGCAAGTGTGAGGCCCTGATTTCAAATCCTTGTACCACCAAAAAACCCTAAACAAACAAACAAAAAACTCAGCTCTCCTTTACAAAACCTTCTTCCCTCCCTCCTTCCTTCCTTCCTTTTTTTTTTTGTACTGGGGTCTGAACTCAGGGCCTTCATCTTGAGCCACTCTGCCAGCCCTCTTTTGTGATGGGTATTTTCAAAATAGGGTCTCATGAACTATTTGCCCAAGCTGGCTTTGAACCGTAATCCTCCTGATCTCTGCTTCCTGAGTAGCTAGGATTACAGGCGTGAGCCACCAGCGCCCAGCTTTCCCCCCTTTTTCTGAGATAGGGTCTTGCTGTACAGACCAGGATGACCTTGATCAATGGCCACCACTACCTTTTTCTCATTTTGTTTGTTTCAAGATAGGGTCTCACTTGATATGTAGCCCAGGCTGTCCCCTTACTTGGTGTCCTCCTGCCTCAGTCTCCCAAGTGCTGGGATTACAGGTGTGTTCCACCATGTCTGGTTTGCCACCACTACTTTTTAAGAAAATAAAAATACAGTGATGTATCAATGAAATTTCAAACCCAGAAATAGACAAACACATCAGTGAGTATAACTAGGAACATAAAGTTAATATGATCAATCTCTGACTGCACTCTTTCCAATCAAACGTAGCTTCCAAAAAAACATTCTTATGAATGCCATTTGCCACTAAGAGGGCAGCTCACATCGTGAGGGAACATGCAACGCCAGGCCCCTGGGTCTTACATGCTTGGACCACCATGACACACCGACACCAGTTTCAAGAAAGAGTCGGATTTCTTCAAGGGCTCCTTTTTTAGTTGACAATCTGTGGAACTACCATGAATAAAAGACCTGGTGTTCTTCTCTCTCTCTTTCCCTCTCTCTCTTGTTTTTAGACTTGGTGTTCTTATTTAGGACTAGAACGATAGCCATGCTGCTGTCAACCATTGCACTTAACCACACAAACATCAAAATAGTGACAGAAATATTTAAGCCTAAGTAACCTGTCCTTTCTCTTTTGTTTAAGGAGGATTAGTAATTACTATTTATTAAGAGGGTTATGGAAGGCAGCCAGCAGCTCATGCCTAAAATCTTAACTGCTTGTGAGGCTGAGATCAGGAGGATCACCATTTGAGACCAGACTGGGCAGGGAGTTCATAAGACCCTGTATCAACCAATAGTTGGGCACAGTGGCATGCATCTGTCATACCAAGCTATGTGGAAGGGTGAAATCAGGAAGATCGAAGTTCCAAGTCAACTCCCACAAAGCAAATGCTCACAGCAACCAAAAAATTCTGGGGATAGTGGTGCATACCTGTCAGCCCAGTGATGGCAGGAAGCATAAAATAGGAGGATTGTAGTTCAGGCTGACCTGGGCAAAAAGTGACAGCCTGTCTCCAAAAAACCAGAGCAAAAAAGACTTGAGCATAGCTCAAGTGGTAGAGCACCGGCCTTGCAAGTGCAAAGCCCTAACTTAAAACCCCAGTTCCTCTAGAAAGAAAAAAAAAAAACAGAACAGAGGGTTATGAGATGTCAGGCATGCTAAGTACTTTCCACATAATCTCAGTGTGGCAAATTTGACACATTTACAGAAAAGGAGTGGGAAGTCAGAGGGGTCTGGTGGAAGGCTACTGTAATATTCTAGAGATGAGATAAAAACAACTCATCTAGGAGATATCTTTAGAGTCAGCTTCAGCTAGTCCATGTTCCTGACATACAGTCAGTTCCTTTGGCCTCTCACTCTTTACACATCTACATTCATAACTAAAATCTAGGTACTAAAAGCAAACAGGCAATTCTGATTATGAAATTAAATCAATTCCAATACATTTTTTTGGAGACAGGAGCTTGCTACATAGCCCAGACTGTCCTAGAATTTATTATGATCCTCCGATCTCAGCCACCTGAGGGCTGGGATTATAGATGCGTACCACCACACCTAGGTAAATTTTTAAGGAAAAAAAAAAAAGAAATTGTATCTAGTAGAATATATACTTGTTTGTTTTTAAAACAAGGGAGGTAAGAATAGAAACAATGGTAACTTTAAATTTCCTGACATGAGCTGGGCACCAGTGGCTCATACCCATAATTCTATCTACTTGGGAGACAAGATCAGAAGGATAAAGGTTCAAGGCCAGCCTGATCCAATAGTTCACAGACCCTATCTCAAAAATACTCGAGACAAAAACAGGGCTGTCAGAGTAGCAGAGTAGCTCAAGTGGTAGATGCCTGCCTAGCAAGCGTGAGGTCCTGAGTTCAAACCCTAGAACCACCAAAAAAAAATTTTTTTTTACTTCAAGTACTTCATTTAAAGAATAAAGTGTCCAAATACTTCTACCAAAGGAATACATTGTCAAACAGCCAAATATTAGTTTACAGTAAGTTCTGGGGGCATAGCTCATGAGGTAAAGCACTTGCTGACCATGTGTGAGGCCTTGGGTTTGATTCCCTGTACTAAAAAAAAAAGATCCAATTTCTGAATGAATGAATAAGTACATATTTTGAAGGTCACAATGCACACAACCTGTGACCTCAGTGTTGAGACAGAAGGATAGGAAGATAGGAAATTCAACAGCTGGGATGAACATAGACTGAGTCTCAGAAAAACAAAACAAGCCAGGGGCTGATGGCTCACATCTGTAATCCTAGCTACTCAGCAGGCAGAGATCAGGAGGGTCACAGTTCAAACCCAGCCCAGGCGAATAGTTTGCAAGACCCGATCTTGAAAAAACCCTTCACAAAAAAAAGGGCGTGGAGTGGCTCAAGGGTGTAGGCCGAGTTCAAACCCCAGTACTGCAAAAAAACACAAACAAAAGACACACCCACACACACACACAACTCACATAAGACTGCCATAAGCCTTAAAATATTGATAATATTCTATTCCATTAATTCATTTAATAAAAAAGGTCTTAAATTACCTGAGGGTCAGTATCACAAGTTTTATAAATATCATTAAATAGGGAACTAAAGTCATCCAATTTTCAGGAGAAGACAGCACAGCACACATTATCATTGACAATTCATCCACGAGAGTCCCGAGGCCTGAGTACCTGGGGAGGTCCTCCCTGCAGGATAAGTAATTCACGGACTGCTAATGGTTGATATACTTGATCCAATAGGTCTCTCAAGGCCCCCCTGGCCAGGGTTCGTTCCTCTTCAGTTAAAACCTGAAAGAATATGCACTTGGCTTTAGTGAAAATACAAACCAGGCAACGGCTAGAAGGCAAACATCTTATAGCACCAAGCAAAGGTACTTGGTGAGGGAAGAAGGAAAGCTTTTAGCACCTTGATTAGAGGAGGCTATGCCACGAACATACCCCTATCCCTCTCTCCATCCCTCACTCACTCCCCTTCTGGGCAGGTTTGTGGCTTATCTTATTGGTGACTGTGGAATATCCTCGCTTTTGCCAGTTCAGGCACACACTGCTCAGCTTGCTCCTCTTCTCTGTGGGAGTAAATACACACAGGGCTCTGCTCTGTGCCGTCCTGCAGAGCGGATCACAGTCCCTGCATGAGGCAGAAGGCGCTGGAATTTTCCAGTCCTCTTGAAACTGGGTGAATAGTAAGTGTGTTTAATTCTGAGTGTACTGTTTAGGATTTGTCTCCATCTGTGTGATATCCCACCAATTTTGTTCTTATGAGAAATAGAGGTACATTTTGACTTTTCATCTCTCCTACTCTATTAACTGGTTAGTCTTTTCATTCATTCAGACCTGGGCCCGCAAAAGAGGGTTGCTATTTTGGGGCACCTTAAGCACCAAAATGCTATCCCCCATTGGGAGTTAACCACTCACAGTCAAACAGTGAGGGTCCTGCCTATTACCATTTAGCACACTGAGATGTGAGGGCTCTTGGGGGACACTATCCAACTTCATAATATACCGTTACCTCCTCATTCCACCTCTCCTTTTGGTTCTTTCTGTGTTTCCCTCTTCTTTTCTCTCTCTTGCCTCAGACACTTGGGGCACTGTTTAGCCTCTGTAACAGCAACAATCTGCTGTTCCAGATCCCCGTACCTCAGGAAGTACAGGTGAAGGCGCCACTGGAACTGTCAATCCGTACCACTCTGAAGTAAAGAACAAGGTGCTCTGCTCTGAGCCACTAGGGGAGCTCATAATTTTGGGTCACTGCTTGGATGACAGTGACTTTTAGGCACTTTTAGAATGATACAGGCAGGTGAAAGAGAAGGAACAGCATGGTAGGACCTGACTGTGGTGGTTCAGAACCACCCTGCCTATTAGGTGCTCTGACCCTCCATACATTACATCTTTTTTTTTTTTTTTTTTTAATTTATTATTCATATGTGCATACAAGGCTTGGGTCATTCTCCCCCCTGCCCCCACCCCCTCCCTTACCACCCCATATATTACATCTTAATAGCTTCTTCTGCCTAGTTTCTACACTGATGCTGGGACCTCTTACAGGGAGACATGGGCAGGCCCTGCTATATCATACTTGTAAGTCTTCTCTCCTCACTTAGTATGTGAACTAGCTGAAAAAGGACCATGTCTAATGTTTCTGTAACCTCCACAGCAACTTCTGTGGCCTAGGTATCAGCTGGCACACAACTACTCACTGAATGAATGATGGCAAAGAACCGACACATAGCCCCAACACCCAGTAATAACAAAGATGCCTGGCGTGGAGGTGCACACCTGTAATCCAGCTACTTGGGAGGCACAGGTAGGAGGATCATGGTTCAAGCTGCTGGCCCAGGCAAAAAGAATGAGACCTTACCGAAAAATAACTAAAACAAAAAAGACTGAAGGCATGGCTCAAGTGGTAGAGTGCTGGCCTGGCAAGTGCAAGGCCCTGAGTTCAAACCCCAGAACTGCCTAAATATATAAATAGACAGATAGCAGCAACTACTTTCCAATAAGCACTAGTGGAGGAGGAGTGTTCAGGTGGTAGATTGCCTGCCTAGCAAGTCTGAGGCCCTGAGTTCAAACCCCAGCACCACCAAAAAAAACCAAAACAAAACAATGAAGGCAACAGCACTAGTGGAGATTAGCCTAGGTACTTTGCATACATTATCCTTAATTCTCACAACCACCTTCCAAACCATTTTATAAGAACCAGAGGTTCAAAGATAGCCTGCTGTAGCTATCCCACAAGATGACAAGGGACAGATGAAATGGGATTCTCCAGGTGTGCAAAAGACTGCCATCTAAAAAATTAAGCCTCCACCACCCCCACCCTTGATCCCCCACCTTTCACCTCCCCATCTCCAACCCCACTACCCAAAAAAAAAATATTCCATTTACCTACTGCTATGCTTTGACATTCAATAGGAATTCAAGATCTTTCAACTTGCTTCCAGAGAACTAAAAGTTGTCTTTTATAACAACCACACACAAATATATACACATACCATCTCCCTTTTTCCCAATCGCTCAATAAATGTTTACCTCTTCCACAGGTGTTGGTGGTTTTCTTTTGGTTGGGCAGAATCCCAGTTGGCACAGACCTGCTGCAAATGTCCCCGAAGTGGCGGGCAGAAAATCAAGCTTCCCAAGGATGCATGCCGAGCAACATTTAGGAGGACCATGCAGCTGGTGTACAGTCTCCGGGTTGCATGGGAGCAGCATCAGGCCACACAACATCATGAACAACAGCACCAAATTCAGTCCTGGATCTCAAAGGGACTCCGACACCAGGTACAAGGTAGGGGCACACACCCAAAGTAACCACAAATTGCAAAACAGACTGGACAGTCTTCTGCTGTGATATACTGAGTGTGTCAGGGCTGAGGGCAGGAGCAACTTCTGGAGTCCTAGGGTTGGGTTTACCTGGATGGAAATCAGCTGCTAGGCGGATCATGGTTTCCTTCAAGCACAACAGCAGCAACAAGGTTTGAGAGGTGAAACTCCAAGTGATGTCCACGGAGTTCTGTGGCCAATTCTGCTTCCTCAGCAATTTCATCTCGTATGAGTTTCAGTTTCTTCCACTGAGCATCCTTCAGAAACTTGTCCTCCAAGGCAGACAGATTAGATTTTAAAGTAGCCAATAAGACATTATGTTTTGTGTTTTGTAGTGAACTTGAGCCTGATCCTTTTGAAAAGAAAGGAAAAAAAAAAAAAAAAAACCCGATTATATACAAGGAAAACAAATTTAAAACAAACTGTACTTCCCTGAGTGTGGAATACCTGGCCCACTCCAGGCAGGAGACTGGAGGTGAGTGGGAAAATAGGTGGAACATGGTATCTTAAGGGAGGTGAAACTTTTTTTCTTTTTTAACAGTTCTGGGGATCAAGCCCAGTATCTCACTCCTGCTGTGCAAGTGCTCTACCACTGACCCCACACCACTAGCTCCAAAAACTATTTTTTTTAATTCTGTCTGATACTGTAATGCTATAGGCAAGACAGTAGGCATTTCTCTAAACTCAAAGAAATGTATACCACCAAGAATGAACTTAATTAACAGTGAATAAATATTAGTCAATCAATTTAACAAATGTACCATACAAGTACAAGATGTTAACAACATGGAAAACTCAAACTGGGTTAGAGAGAAAATACAGGGGAATTCTCTGTATTTCCCTTTTATTTTATTTTTTAATAAACCTAAAGATGCAAGCCAGGCATAGTGGCATGCCTGTAAAATCCCAGCACACAGGAAGCTGAGGCAGAAGGATCCTGCGTGTTCTGTAGTGAACTTGACCCATCCTGAGTAGTTAGGATTACAGGCATGAGCCACCAGCAACCGGCTTAAAAAACTTATTTTAAGGTTATATGAAACCTTTTTTTTTTGGTGTGGTTGGGGTTTAACTCAGGGCTTCAGCCAAACAGTCACTCTACCACTTGAGCCACCCCTCCAGTCCATTTTGCTCTGGGTATTTTGGAGATGGGGTCTTACAACTATTTCCTGGGCTGGTCTTGAACTGCCATCCTCCTGATCTCAGCCTCCCAAGTAATTAGGATTACAGGCATGAGCCACTGGTGCCCACCTGAGACCAGTTTTCTTTCCTTCTTTCTTTTTTATTTTGATGGTAATGGTCCTTGAAACACCAGGCCTCATACATGCTAGGCAAGCATTCTACCACTTGAGCCACTATGTTTTCCGGAATGCTGGTGGTGGTAACCTCTAGGTAATAAGATTAAAGTACTTTCAGTTTTCTTCTTTCGGTTTCTCTTTAGTTTCTAACCTTTACTATAGTGAACATTAACTAATTCTATAAAAAGAAAAAGTAATATTGTTCCTTAAAAATAGTAAAAATAGGCCAGGTGCTGGTGGCTCATGCCTATAATCCTTGCTACTTGAGAGGTGGAGATCCAGAGGATCACCATTCAAGGCTACCCTGGGCAAAAGTTGAAGAGACCACCACCCAAATCAATCAATAACTAGGTACAGTTTTACACACCTGTCATCCCAACTTCACAAGGAGGCTGAGATGGAGAGGATCATGGTTCCAAGACAGCCCAGGTTAAAAAAAAAGTTTGGAAGACCCCCATCTCAATAGAGAAATCTGGGTGTGGTGACACATGCCTGTCATCCCAGCTACTGCAGGAAGCACAAATAAAAGGACAGAGGTTAGGCTGACCCTGGCAAAAAGAAAAATAGCCAGAGCAAAATGGGCTGGAGGCGTAGCTCAAGTGGTAAAGCGTCCACCTAACAAGCATAAAGCCCTGAGTTCAATCCCAAATAGCACCAAAAAAAGAAAGAATCAGAAGAATAAGAATCTTGCAGTACTTCTCTAGACTGTCTGGGGCAAGTGTTCTGACCACTAGCTTTGAAACCTGGTTCCTGCCAGGCTCCAGTGGTTCATGCCTGTAATCCTAGCTACTCACAAAGCAGAAATCAGGAGGATCACAGTTCAAAGCCAGCCCCAGCAAATAGTTTGAGAACCAATCTCAATGAACCCCACCACAAAAAAGGGCTGGTGGAGTGGCTCAAGGTGTAGATCCTGAGTTCAAAGCCCAATAGCACAAAAAAAAAAAAAAAAAAATCTGGTTCCTTCAGCTAAAACATAACTAAATAGAAAACGGGAGCCCTCATAGCTGTGGCCACTAACCATTAAGGTCACTAACCAACTTCTATGAGACTTCTTGTGATTTTTAAGATCTTTGAATCCAAACATGGAACACAAAGAAAGTGATTTAAAACAAAAGCTTACTGGTTTTCCCAAGAGCTGCCTTTTAAGACTTCTCTGCCCTCTACTGGTGATGAAAATAAAATCTATGGTATTTGAAAACGCTGGCATTTCCTCAATCTCTCTCTCTCTCTCTGTTTTTTTGCTTTTTTTTTGGTACCAAGGTTTAAACTCAGGACCTTACAGTTACTAGGCAAGTTCTATACCACTTGAGCCCCAACCCTAACTCCCCCCACATTTTTATGAGATGGGGTCTGGCTATGTCACCCAGGTTGACCTGGAACTTGTGATCCTCTGGCCTCGGCCTCTGGAGCTCTGGGATTACAGACATGCACCATGCCTGGCACTAAAGCAGCAGTTCTCCAGGTGTGGTATAAGAGATTTGAGTTGTCAAGGGGTCTGCAAGGTCAAAACTATTTCATAATAACACTAAGACAGGTCTGGGGATATAGCTTATAGGTCAGTGGTACATTTGCCTAGCATGTACAAGGCCCTGAGTTTCAATCCCCAGCACCACACATACACACACAAAAAGATTTACAAAAGAGTAAAACAAGACTGGCAGAGTGGCTCAAGTGGTAGGGCACCTGTCTAGCAAGGTGAGGCCCTGAGTATAACCACAAGAAGAAAAAGAAAGAGTATGAATAAAACAAGCGGAGGGCCAGTGGCTCACACCTGTAATCCTAGCTATTGGGAGGCTGAAATTGGGAGGATTACAGTTCAAGGCCAGCCGGGGGAAACAGTTCACAAAAAAAATGACTGCAGCAAAATGGACTGGAGGTGTGGCTCAGCAGTAGAGTACCTGCTTTGCAAACAGTAATCCCTGAGTTTAAACTCCAGTCCCACAAAAAAACATAAAACAATGCCACTCTTCCCATTAGTTATAGTTATTTTAATTAACAATGTTATTGTGAGCCAGCATGAGACAGACTGGGGTTAGGCTATTCACCCCAAGGATCACGGCTTGGAAAGTGGCAACCCCTGGATGCAACCAGGGCAGTCGAGCACCATAGACTGGCTTTGGATCACTACAAGAACTGGTTCACACTCAAAATGTTCCTCTACTCTCACCCAAAACATCCCTGTCACACAGTGGGAAATGGTGCCCTAAATAGCTATGTTCTGTGATATTTAAAGTGTCATGATTTATGTGGTACTTTTTATTAAACACAAGTAGGGGGCCAGGTACAGTGGTATGAGTCTGTAGTCCCAGCTACTTGTGGGAGACTGAGGCAAGATCTCTTGATCCTGGGAATTCAAGGCCAACCCGGGCGACATAGCAAGTTCTTGTCTCCAAAAAAAGAAAAAGAAAGTATAGCACATCTTCATTATTTACAAGTTACTGGTATTCTTAGCAATTTCTCCCAGTAATTAAAATTTAAAACAGATCAGCTGTTAAATTTAGTACAGAAATATTTCATTTCAAAACTCATACTGAGATGGCCTCCATTTTTATAAACAAAATTCAATAACAGCCTTTGAAGTCTTTTGAACACAATTCATGAAGAAGGAGGAGCCTGGGTTCCTTCATCTCTAATACAGAATGCAAGGAATAGCTATCTCATAGGACTGTTGTAAGGGTTAAATGACATACACAAACAGCTGACTATGGGGACTGATGTTTAGTAAGCACTCATTTACTATTATTAACAACTTATTTCACTTCCAACTAGTATGGTATAATGTTTGCAGTTGTTTCGTGTCAAACATTTGAGACTAGGGCTGGTGTCAGTGGTTCACACCTGTAATCCTACCTACTCAGGAGGCAGAGATCAGGAGGATTGAGGTTGGAAGCCAGCCTGGGCAAATAGTTTGTGAGACCCTGTCTCGAAAAAACCTTTCACACACCAAAGAAAAGGGCTGATGGAGTGGGTCAAGGTGTAGGCCCTGAGTTCAAGTCCAAGTACCACAAAGAAAAAAAAAATTGAGACTAGGAACATCCTCACCTTGGCCTTTCCTGTGCCTTCACCTTCTTAATCCTTCAAGTCCCTTCTCCCAAAATATATATTGCAATTGTATGCAGAGCCCTGTATTTTTTAAAAAGAGGCTTTTATTTTATTTTGGCAGTACTGGATTTGAACTCTGGACCTCATACTTTCTAGGCAGGTGAGCTACCACTCCAGCTACTCTACTAGACCGAGCAGGTGCCTATTTCTTATGTCCTCTCCCAAAGCTCCAGATAACATCTGAGGCGCTATGCTCAATAATCTGCTGAAAAGGGGATTCGGAGGAACAGGGTTCTAAATTCGTGTTCTGCCCCTATGGAGCCACATGGTCTTGGTTACTTAATCCATTCACTGAGCCTCAGTGGTGAAAGAGAGTCGTAGGCTCCACCACTGCCAGGTCCTTTCAGTCTAAATTAGGAAGATCTTGTCCACTCACCACAAAAGATTAAAGGTGACTGTAAATCCCTAAAGACTGTGCCCAAACAGTTCTCAAACGTGACTGCTTCCTATTTCTGGACTCCTTTCTTTGCGATTTGTACTACTTTTTTTTTTTTTTTGGTGGCACTGGCTTGCTACGCAGGCGCTCTACCACTTGAGCCACTCCTGTCCTGCGCTTTGTACAAATCACAACAGTCCACATTACCGCTGCGCCCCCAAGCGGTCGGGACCTCACATTACACCTCGCGGACGCCTGTCCTCTCAGGCTGTGTTCCGCAGTCCCTACAGCTCCGAGGCGTGCACTTGAGGTGCCGGCCCCAGGAAAGTACTCCAGCATGTTAGCTAGTATCAGTATCCAACCGATTCCATGCTGTCTTTGAGCATCAGTTTCCTCAGGTTTGAAATGAGGCTGAACGAGAACCAAATGCCTCTAGCACCGGAGCGGGTCTGGGGGAAGGCCCAGGGGTGCATGCTGCGAGAGCCTGGGACAACCCTGGAAGACCGGCGGCCCTGTAAGTCCCAGGTCCAGCTCGGCACCGAGATGCTTCCTCTCACCTCCCGGGCTCAGCAGCAGCTTCAACGCTTCCAGAATCTGGTCCAGACTGCATGTCTCCAAAGCCCCGCTGCCCACTGCCTCTACGGGGGTCGCCATGAGTGGAGTGGAACTTGGTGTTTGCGCCCGTTTCAGGCGCTTTGGTGGACGAGCGCCGCCGCCATGTTAAGTGTGGCAGGAAGTGCTCGGCGCTGAGGGGCGGGGACACGTGATGTGGGGCGGGGCCTACTCCGTTGGGAACGCCCACCTTCACGGAAGGATAGTTTCTGGTTCCCTTTGCTCACGTGAGTGAGGTGGAGGGCAAAATAAGTACCCATGCTCGGGGTTTTCAGAAACTCACTATGATTAATTGCCATATAGAAGGTGAAATAGCTACGTGCCCAGGCAGAAGGATCACCAGTTCGAGGCCAACCTGGGATTCACAGGGAGACCCTGTCTCAAAAAACAAAAGAAAAAAAATCATGAGAGAAATAGTTTATCATAAATTAATATATATAAAAATATGTGTATATTGATACACCAGAAGACATAATGAGGTAAAAACTTTTAGTGACGTTTGGATAAATAATATTCAAATTAATATTGTTTAGGGGTTTTTTCTGGCAGCACTGGGATTTGAACACAGGGCCTCATGCCTGCTAGGCAGGCATTCTTATCACTTGAGCCACTCCACCAGCCCTAGGTTTTTTGAAAAAGGGTCTTGCTGTGTAACCCGCGTTGGCCTCAAATTCCAGATTCCCCCTACCGGGTGCTGAGATTACAAGTAGGCTCTACCATGCGTTGGCTTTCCCTTAGATTACAAGATTTCTTTCTATGATATTTTTTAAAATAAACACAGACACCCACATCTCCATTGCTAATGTAATACCTACAAATGTGGCTATCAGTGATAGGGTGATGCTTTGTTTCTTGTTTAGAGCTGGTGGTAAGGGCATGTGGGCCCTGTACCACTGAGCAATACCAGTGGTAGTAAGGTTTTTGTAATGGACTTAGTAAAATTCATCTTTGTTCTATTTACATGGTTGTTGCATTCCTAGAAAACTCAGTGTATATTTAAACCATGTTCAAACCTATGTAAAACAAAATAGGTTTGAAAGTGAGATCATGGGAAACAGGTTTTTTCACCTGCATAAATCCTGGAGGGACATTCAGAAGTCTTAGACAATGCTTCTGAGGGCAGAACCTTTAGTATGCCTGCCTCTCTCCTTTCTGTGTCAGTCTTAGTCCCTTATCATTGTCAGACCTGAAACCACAACCCCCTTCCTCACCTCCCACTTGGAGAAAATGCTCCCAGACCCTTCCCGTGACCCAGTGAGCTGGAGTTCATGGTTGACAGCCACCCTTCTGCATTAATGCTGAAGCTTGGGGAGCAGACGTGCTTCCTATGTGGGCCCTCGACCCTGGGGAGAGGAGCTGTGCGTTGAACTACTTCCTCAGAGCCAGCGAGGCCACTCCTGGTCTCTCCCATTCCTCTAAGTTCCAGCCCAAACTCAACCATTTCAGTCTCTAAAGTTTTCACAAGGTTTTGAGGGAAACTCAAATGACACTGATCTCAAGTCTGGCAGCACTTGCCACAGAATAGATGTTTACTAAATTGTGCCTGATCTTTTTTGTTTTTTTGGTTCTGTAGAGTTTGAACTCAGGGCCTCCACTTGAGCCATGTCCCCATCCCTTTTGCTTCTTATTTTTCAGGTAGGATCTCCAACCTTGATCCTCCTGCCTCCATGACTCAAGTAGCTGGAATTACAACCATGTACCACCAGGCTAGGATTGTTTTTGAGACAGTCTTGCTAACTTTTGCCCAGGCTGGCCTTGAACTGTGATCCTCCTATCTCCACTTCCCAAGTGCTGGAATTACAGATGAAAGCCATGGCACCCAGCCCTATCATACCTGAACCTTTGCATCTCTCCTTCAAGTAAAATCCTGCCAAAACATCTTCAATGTGAAAAAACACTTTTGTAGGGGAAATAAATGACCTACAAAAATTACCCTGAGATGCCCGGTGCGGGCGGCTAACACCTATAATCCTAGCTACTCAGGAGGCAGAGATTAGGAGGACTGAGGTTCAAAGGCAACCCAGGCAAATAGTTCTAGACCCTATTTTGAAAACACCCATCACAAAAAAGGGCTGGTGAAGTGGCTCAAGGTGTAGGCCCTGAGTTCAAACCCCAGTACTCCCCGCCAAAAAAAAAAAGAAAAAATTACCATGATGCTGTTCCAGAAATGGGGGGGGGGAGTGGATAAAGGAGAATGATGAAGGGGGTGAATTCAAGTATGATACATTTGATATATTGTAAGAAGTTTTGTAAATGCCACAATGTACCCCCACCCAGCACAATAAAATAAATGAATGGAACAGTAGTGCATTTTAACTCGTGAATTCGTGATAGGATGTTGGAGGAGAGCCGCCAGAGCTGTCCTGTGAAATGTCCAATGTCTGAAGAAGGAAGCATCCCCAGGCTTCTCCCAGGCTTGTCACTCAACAGGCTCTTAAGCAACTGTTTGCTTAGAATTCAGTATTGAAGCATGTGGAATTTGAGTTCACAGGAATTGGAAGTCTGGTAGCCCCTTCCTCAGTTTGCTCTGTGCAGCTTTGTTAAAAACATGTTGTGTCTGGCTGGAAGACCCCCTGTAATGTACTATATATAAAACAGCAATCCAGAGCTGTTTGGGAGGGACTGGCCCTCTGCAAAGAGCCATCTGGGGACATTCCAAATACACACAGAGGTCTGTGATCACAGAAAGCGCCTTCCCTTGAAGTTGGCCAACAAGGAGTGCGTTGTTACCAGGACTTGAGGGACAACAGCTGGGTGAGTGTTTGCCTCCCCCTCCCATTTGCTTAACCCAGAAGAAACAAGACTGCCAGCATTCAATGACTGTTAATGGCCACTTCACAGGAACAGAGTCCCCCCAGCAGATTAAGGTTCTTACGGAGTACTATCTCCAAAAGTCACATGTGGTGACTAGAGTGGTTGCATTCCATTTTCCATAACTGGCCCCTGCTTTTTTGTTGTTCCTGGTCCTAGGGATGGAAGCCAAGGCCTTGTACATGCTAGGCAAGTGCTCCATTACTGAGCTACATCCCCAGCCCTTATCCTATTTTTCTCTTTTGTTGCCTGTACTTCTAGTGTCATAGTCAAGAAATTGTGCCAAACCCAGTATCAGGAAGTTTTTCCTGTTTGCTTTCTAAGGGCTTTACAGTTTTAGCTATTGTATTTAAAGTCTTTGATCATTTTGAAGTAACATATCTATGTGGTAAGGTAAAGGAAGGTCACCTTCATCCTTTGCATGTTGTCATAAAATTTTCTCATCTGTTTGAAGAGACTTGTTTCTCCACATTGAGTGGCTAGTACCATTGTGAAATATGTTTTTTAAGCAGTGAAAAAAAAAATTTTTTTTTGGCAGCACTGTATTTTACTCTTTCAAATTGTGTACATATTGTGGGGAAATTATATATTTTCAAATAACAGGATGCTGTTATGTAGTTTGGTCCCCCTAGAGTATAGTTTTTGGGAGTATACAGCTGTACATGAACTATCATTTGAATATGAGATTTCTGGGCTCCTTATTTCTCCCCAGATTTCTTTTTTTTAATTTTTTTTGTTTTGGTGGTATGGGAGTTTGAACTCAGGGCCTTACATTTGCAAGGCAGGCACTGTACTGCTTGAACTGCCATCCCTCTTTTGAAATATTCAAACTCAATAAAAATAGTATATGAACATTTGCACACCTTTAGCCTAGACTGTCCCGTGTACTGCATGGCAGTTAGTGGCACTCCTGGGTTCAGTTTGATGACAACAGCACCTGTCATCCATGTCCTCTGAACTAGATGGGCATTGTCAGAGGCCTTGCTTCTGCCCTTGGCTCAGCCCATGTTCCCCCACTGACCTGGAGCCTCACTGGCTTCCCCACATGACACACAAAGGAAAGTCCAGAGCACAGCCACCCTTTCTCTGTCTCTGTCCCAAGCAGTGCGTGTGAAAGAAAGTTCTGGAGAAACCACTTTGCCCCAAAGCTTCCTTCCCCATGCCTGGTCTGAGCTCAGCCCCTTAATTTTCCTTCTATCTTCCTTGCAACTTTAGGGGAATCAAATCAAGCAAAGTTGACAAGGGTTTAACAAAATTCTTTAATAAAATTTATAAAAATGCATCCTTGAGAATAGCTTGAATTGGTTTTCATTTCCACTCCCAAAGAAGATACAAAACACCCACACACATGATGCACTCATCACTACAAGTGACATTCTCTACACCAAACTACCCTAGGAACAATTTAACGGCAGAAAAATCAAGACGGTTCCCACAACTGATTGCAGACATGATTTTTGTTTCCTTTCCCTAACAGTTGACAGTACAGCAATTTCAATAAAACTCTTTCCAGTGGTTTGCAAAAGTTGAAACGTGCATTTTGAATGAAAAGAACAAAAAAAAGATTCAAATCTAGATTCTCCCAGCTCCCTCCCCAGACTTCGCACCCATCAGCACAGTGTTTTTCTTCCTGCTTCTAAGAAAAAACATGGGATTTCTAATACTCTCAGTTTCCTCTGCACATTTGGTATCAGGCAACTAGTGTTTGGATCAGCCAATCTTCTGCACACGCTGTAACAACAGGCACTTTGGTGGGTTCTGGGCTTCAGGAACAAATGGGTACAGATCACAGATAGGAAAGCCATGTTGCAATTCCTCCATTCTTCCAGAACTTTCCGCCTCAGTGACAAGCTCTCCTGTTGTCCCCAAACATTCCTCTCCTCTTTTGGCTGTAGCACTATAGGCACTGTTCTAAGTCTCAGAGTCAATCACTCTTTCATGTCAGTGACAGAGAAATATTAAACATTAAGTGGCACCCAAAAACTTACCACATTGTCTGGTTCAGACTCCCTGTGTAGAACCAAGGACTCCACAGGACATTCACATAAAAAATGCTGACTCGGAACAGGGGACACACAGGTGCCCATTTCAAGTGAGTACTCAGGAGGGGGAAAACAGCATCCACAGAAGATGAGTGGACAACACCCAGCCAAGACACCCAGCCAGACCATGATGCAGTCTCACCCTAAAAGGTCCCGGTAAATTCTGCATCAGAGGACTTCCATCTGGGGCAGAGTGACACAATTTAGGAATATGAGTGCATGAGAACACAGAACACCAGTGCACACCATGGGGAAAAAAAAAAACAACTTTTTTTTTGCCAGACATGGTGGTGCAGCACTAGGGAGGAAAAGGCAAGAGAATCATGAGTTCAAAGCCAGCCTGGGTTACACAGTGAGTTCCAGACAGCCTATGCTATATATCAAGATCCTGTTGGAAAGAAGGAAGGGAGGAAGGGAGGAAAAAGGAAGAAAGGAAGGAAGGTTTATATACACAACACAACAGAAGTTCCTTCCTTTTAAATACAAGGAAAAATCCCCTAAGGAGATCTACAAATCACTAGCAGAAACTTCTGAGTTGTTCTTTTGAAATAACAGAATTTGGGGATCTTTGGGACATCACTGCTATGTAAAGAGTGATGAATGGAGAGAAAAAAAAAGAGTCAAGGGATAAGTCCCAACCTTTCTAACACAGAGTGGAGCTATGAAGCAGAACCCCGATTCTCAGGTATCACAGCCACACGGATCAGTCTCTCCCCTAGAAACTGAATTCAGGAAAGGAGCTGAAAGTCCACCAGCAACATCATCCTGCATTCACGCCGCCCGGCCCAGGGCCCAGCTCTCTCGTGCCCTAGTCGTCCTCGCCGCCTCCGTACATGTCTGCCAGTTTCTTGAAGCGGTTGCCCCACTCGTTGAGGTAGTCATAGTCCTGGTCCTGGTCTGACTCTGAGGAGTTTAGGGAGCTGAGGCTGGCAGCTTCCGACCCGCTGCCCTCGTAGTCGAACACCAGCAGTGAGTCATAAGGTGGGGCTGTGGGGTCACTGTCAGCCGCCTTCAGATTCTAAAGAAGAAGGACACGGGATGTTTCAGTGCATCAGAGGCAGGATGCCTTCTCCTGGGGCCCCAAACAACCTGTGACACATGACAGAGCCACCATACTGGAGGGACACCATGGAGCAATTAACACCTACAAGGTACTGTCATACAAACTGGCACAGGATGGACTTGATGCATCGCTGATGAGAAGAGAAAGACACAGAAAGATGGGCAAAACCCAAAATGCTAAGTTATATGGAGGCAGGGGAGACACAGGCATCAACTGATCAGATGGGATGCCCATAGCCAGGGAAGGGGTCCCATGCCACCAGTCAGGACAGACAGAGGCTAATAGCAAATGAGGATAAATAAGGTCTAGAAGGATGAATGCTGAACTGTGATTGTTAAAAGTTAACCCTGGGGAGTAGGGTTGGGTATTAAGGAAAGACTTATATGTTCTTTTCTTTTTCCGTATTACCGGTACTGGGGTTTAAACTCAGGGCCTTGCACTTGGCTGGGCAAGTGCTCTACAACTTGAGCCTCCAGCCCATTTTTTGCTTTAGGTTATTTTTCAGGGTGAGCATCAGACCATGACCCTCCTATCTCCCACATAACTGGGATTGCGTGCTGCTATACCTGGTTTATTTTGTTAAAGATGGAGTCTCCCTATCTTTTTGCATAGGCTGGCCTCAAACTGTGATCTTCCCAATCTTAGGCTCTTGAGCAGCTTATTAACTTTTGAGATGGGGTCCCTTGGTATGCCTCCTACCACTGATCTACATCCCCAGCCCCAAAATTTAGATTTTAAAAATAGTCAGCATATTATTTTATAATAAAAAGCCGTAAGTAAATGTGAGATCTGCAGATGAATGTGAAAGGAGGAAAGGAGATGAATGACGGTCCCTTCCTTTTCTCTAAGGATCAGGTGGCTGGAATGGATGAGGTTGGCTCACTTCCCACACTGCTAGGGTGACAGTGACTCCAACGGGAAGCTAAAGCAAAACCAGCCTCCACCCCGACTTACTGAAAACAGCTCAGCTAACAGACAAACCCTGAGAGGAATGCCCGTAACTGAGCCTATGGATAGTTTAAGGAAACGCCCCTACTGCAGGACTACTCCCTTCCTGGGAGCTCCATGTACCCCACGCCCAGTTCTTTCTCACCTTACCCTGACCTAATTAATTTAATGCCTCATGATTCTCCCCTGCAGGTAGGGACAATCTTCCGATAGTTTAGGACACATTCCCTTCTTGAGTAAGGTTTCCTAGAAGAAATGGTTTTGTCCTCTGATCCACTTCTCACTTCTTCCTGACTGGCATACAGACCCCAAGGCCTGGAATTGTGGCAACCATCTTGTGATCATGAAGCAACAAGCATAAGCTAGATAGTACAGAAATGTGGGACAACCTAATGCACCAGGCAGCTCATGCTCCAGCCCTCTATTTGCATGAAGTAAATCTACTCCTGCCTGGTTAAGCTTCTCAACATAGGGCTAAATGCTTTTTTCTTTTTTTTTTTTTTTGCGGGACTAGGGCTTGAACTCAGGGCTTTGTGCTTACAAAGCAGGTGCTCTACCATTCAAGCCACACCTCCATTTTGGATATGGGGATCTCACAGAATATTTGCCCAGGTTGGCCTTGAATTTCGGTCCTCCCGAGCTCAGCCTCCTAAGTAGCTAGGATTACAGGCGTGAGCTACCAGCGTGAGCTACCAGCGTGAGTTACCGGTGCCCAGTGTAAATGCTTTCTTTCTTTTCTTCTTTTTTTTTTTTTTGGTGGTACTTGGGTTTGAATTCAGGGCCTCCTGCCTCCTGCTTGCTAGGCAGGCACTCTACCACTTGAGCCGCTCTGCCAGCCCTTCTTTGCATTGGATATTTTCAAGATAGGGTTTTGTGAACAGTTTGCCTAGGGGTGGCCTCAAACCGCAATCCTCCTGATCTCTGCCTCCTGAGTATCTAGGATTACAGGCATGAGCCACTGGTGCCCAGGCAAATGCATTTGTAACTTACACAATACAGATGCAATTTTTCTAGCCCTCAGGGAGAGTGTGCCACTCATTTCACAATCCTATCCCAGCCAGCTATGGAATGCTGGGGACCCATCAGTGAAACCACTGGGTTTACTTTACATCTCTTTGGTTTCATTTCTAGATCTACTAAATCCTTGCTGGCAATTCTTGGTTTTGTCAGACAGACCTTGCAAATTCACTAAGACCAATTCCAAGTGCTGTGATTCCTGAAATGCAGATGCGACACACAAAACAGAACTTGGGGATTGGGCAAGTGGAGCACACGGCAAACAGAAGACTCGGAAGGCTCTCCTTCTTGTTTGTAGACATTCTTTCCTCTTTTCTGCTGCTGAGTTCACAGACATGCTGTGCCATGGCTTTCAGCTTTTGCTTACTTACTTCGTCAATAAAATTCCCGATTTCATCAGGATTGGCGGGGCGGGGACGATACTGGGGCATGCTCAGGAGGGTTGGTGCCACATCATTACGAGTCACCTCCGGTCGAGCGTCCAGGCCCCTGTGCAGCTGGCTCAAGTCAAAGTCCTGGGGAGAGAAAGGTAGACATTGCTAGACTCCAAAGAAACAGTCTCATCCACAGGGCTGGATACTGCCCATCCTAACTACCAACGTGTGATACTTGCCAGTAAGTGCCCAATGTCATCTGAAAGGGTAACTTTCAAATGAGAGTAGGAGAAAGTACAGCCTTAAACCAGTGGCACTTGTGGATATAACAGAAACTCTGGCTTTTTTTTCATTTTGGGCAGTGCTGGGAATTGAACTCAGGCAAGTGCTCTACCACTTGAGCCATCCCCCAGTCCTCTTGCTTTCAGTTTGTTTCTCACATAGGGTCTTGCTAACTTTTGCCCAGGCTGGTCTTGAACTATGATCCTTCTACCTCTGCCTCCAGATTACTTGGGATTACAGATGGCACCACCACATCGGCTCCTTTTTCACTTCATAGGACGTGGTTATTAGGTTATTTTTATTTATTTATTTTTATGGCAGTACTCGAGTTTGAACTCATAGCTTTGTGCTGTCACCTCAGTACTTTTTTTGTTCAGGCTATTTTGGAGGTACGGTCTTGTTTTTTTCCCCAAGTTGCCCTATGCCACAACTTCTGCAGTTGCTGGGATAACAGGCTCATGCCACTGGGCCTGGCTACAGGGTAAGATGGGAGTCTTGAACTTTCTGCCCCAGCTGGCCTGGAACCACAATCCTCCCAATTTCAGCCTCCCCTGTAGCTGGGATAAGAGATGTGCTCCATGAGTCAATGCCCTGTATAGCTATCCTTATCTCAACCAGCAAAAACCCTTGTTCCTTCCTATTATTGCTTATACTTTCTCTACAACAAAATTAGAGATAAGGGCAAAATAGTTTCTGCCGGGTAGTGAGGGGGTGTGGGGGAGAGGGAGGGGGCGGAGTGGGTGGTAAGGGAGGGGGTGGGGGCAGGGGGGAGAAATGACCCGAGCATTGTATGCACATATGAATAATAAAACAATAAAAATAAAAAAAAAAAAAAAAGAGAGAGATGTGCTCCACCTGCACCCGGCTGATTATTAGGTTATTGTTTAGCAAACTTTCACTCCCTCCCACACCTAGCAACTGAGAGAGAGCACAGTCCATCAATGTTGGGCTTCGTCGTATGACTTGCTTTAGGCAATGAGACAGCAGGAGAAAGCTTGGAACATAGTAGTTTGCTGGTACAGAGAAGTGACACTCCCATGGAGCCAGTGTAGACGCAACTTGCAATTTAGAACCACCCATTACAATTTTGCCTTGCTCAACTGAGCCCCAGGCAAACTACAGATTCTTGCGAGCCTCACTATGATCAGCAATCACTCCAGTGAACATGAATACACAAGAAAGACATACTGCTTGTGTACCCCTGAGATCCTGGGGCCATTTGCTGTAGAGGGGTACTGTGGTAATAGTACAGTCTCTCTGATATCCCACAAAAAGACTTCAAAGTGCCTCAAAATCTGGAACTCGAGGAAGGCATGGCAAAACATCTCCAAAGTACACAAGGCCGAAAGACTGAACATCCACAAAAAGCAAAAACCAATTTAGCCGAGCTAAAACTCAAAAGACACAAAATCTTAAAACAGGTAATTGCTCTATGATCACTTCTTCGAATTATCTTCAAAAATAAACTGATTGAAGTTTGTGTCCTGAGAACAGCAATGAGGTGCACAGGCTCTGGAGCCAGTCCATCGGGTTTCCCGGCTTCCTAGCTGTGAGACCTTCGGCAAGTCATTCAACTGCTTTGTGCCTCAGTTCTCTCAACTGGGAATAGAACAGTAAGCAACAGATAAAGGTTAGTGGTATTGGACTTTAAAACCCACCTGGTCCTCTTCTCCACCTCCTTCTTCATCATAGTAATAAACGTTGTCCCGGGTGTCATCCTCTGGGGGCAGCAAGGGCTCTTTGACTACCGCTCTCCTCCGCACAAACAGCAGGAGCAGCAGGATCAGGACTGGAGTGGGAGAGAGAGGGGAGTCGGGGCGTGAGCTACGAGAGCCACAAGTAAAGAGGGCCCAAGGAAGCAGCCACCACAGACAGTGACTGGCCACCTTTGAAATACTTGTAATCAATCCACATGACCCGGTGGCCCTGAAGTTAATACATGTGGCACAACATGGTGGCCAATGATACATTTGTTCAAGCAAGACCTATAAATTTCACACACATCTTAAAGTCAATCATTGTCATTTCCCCAAATGGGGCAACATGTTCCAGGCCAATGAAACAGTAGGGGCAAAGGCCCTGAGGCAGGAGTGTGCTTGGTGTGACTGAAGAAGTGTGTGGAGGCCAGTGTGACTGAAGTGGGCAAGAGGTCTTGGGGTAGGAGGGATGTGTGGACCATTGTGAGGACTTTGGTTTTGATTCTGAATGAGTCAGAGCCATTGAAAGTGTCTGAGCAAGACTGCTGGGTCACCTAAATGTGACTGATGCGTTGTTAACCAGTCCTGTTAACCAGGTGGGACACGGACTACAAAATTACGTGCCATGTTCTTCATCCCAAAATATAATTATGTAAGCAAGCTTTAAACTCTAACTTTGCACGGTGGTCCATGCCTGTAATCCCAGTACTTAGGAGGCTAAGGCAAGCTGATGGTGAGTTCCAGGCCAAACTGGACTACACAATGAGGCCCTGTCTCAAATAACTAAAAATAAGTAAATTTAAAAAATTATTATACAAATTGAAAATGAAGGATCCTGTGTTATCTTCATATTTCTTTGTATTCTTTATATTTCTGTGTTCTTCTTTTCTCTTTTTTTTAATTTTTGAGTGGGACTGGTGTTTGAATTCAGGACTTCATGCTTGCAAAGCAGGCGCTGTACTACATAAGCCATGCTTCCAGTCTACTTTGGTCTGGTTATTTTGGAGATGGGGTCTACAGTGAACTATCTGCCAAAGCTGGTCCCAAACTGAGCTCTTCCTGATCTCAGCCTCCCAAATGCTAGGATTACAGGCGTGAGCCATCAGTCTGTGTTTTTCTTATTATTCATTATAAGATTAAAACACAACAACAACAAAAGAGTCTGTGTTACCTTAATATTTCTTTGTATTCTTGATATTTCTGAGTTTTTATGTGCCCAAGTAACATATTACACATTAGTACACTGGGAGAACACAAGCTTAGCAAGTACAGGGCCTTGAGTTCAAATCCCAGTACTGCAAAGAACGCATTAGTGAAGCATTTATGCCACTAAAATAAGAGGCTGCATACACTCGGGAAGCCTTATTAGATGTATTCAACCAACCCGTTATTTCTGGACCAGAAGTTTGCCAGAAACCTTATCCAGACAAGTGACATACTCTCCTGTCCAGGATTCATTGACAGAAACACTTGAGCTCTCGCTGGTCATGCCAGGGCCTACCTCTGCCCTAGGAATATGACACTGAACAAGGCACTGCAAGCTGCAAACTGCCCCCATCAATGCAGAGCTTAGGCCAGAGAGAGCTTATGGTTTCTGAAGGGACATCTCTTATTGGCTGTACAAAAACCTAGTGCCCCCAGTGTGAAAAAGCCCATGTGAAGCAAGCAATGCAGTATTAATGGTACACGTGAAAACTCACAAACCTCCCAGGGTCTCTCCAGTTTTTTTGCCCTTAGTAAGTAAGATGTTGGACATATGAATCCTGGAAGTGCTTCTTCTTCAAGTGTTGTACTACCTGGAAACCCTCTACCTCTGATCCCCACATCTAATGAAATACACCTATAGCAAATTTGGGTAACCCTATTTTAAAAGAAAAAATTTTAAGTATAACTTTAACTATAATCTGTAAGATTATCCTCAGAATGAAATTCAGTAGCCACTATCCCAAAAGCAGACCAGCCCATTCAAATAGAATTTGACTATGCAGGGGTGGGCAGGATTTATATTACCAAGTCCAAGATAATGACATAAGACAAGCTGAGTTATGGTAATTCAGAGTTATGTAAAACCTGGAGGAACAAAAAGAAATCAAGCTCACAGAATTCTCAATGGCACTGCCCTTCTCTTCAACTTTGGGTGACCTCAATGGCTTAGGGCAAGTACTTCTTGTGGCTGAAAGATCCACCTCCCCAAGTTTGCAGAAGCACTGGCTGGGTCAACAGCACCCATGCCCATATGTGCTCCCAATGCTTCTTTCAAAATCTTCTTCCACTCCAGCCTCCTTTCTGCCCTACACAGAATCCACTCAGATCTCCCTCTGTGCTGTTGCTAATGTGGTCACCAACAAGATCTCCCTCTGGCTACCTCAATTCTATCAGCCCCCATGACCCAACTACCTATATCTTCTATAAATCCTTCCCTGATGTTCAATTAACAGCCTCCTTCCTATTGCAAAGCCATCAGTGACCTGGGCCACCCATTCCAGTACGGTCTCTTGCTTTTACAAACCTTAAGATACCTACATCAACCCTGGGATCCCTCTACAGTTGAGCTCAGGAGTTACCAGTTCCAAAGACCGTGATGGAAACTGCCAACTTTCCCCCAGCCTCTTTTTTCTCCTTCATCCTTTTAGTCATTGATACTTGCTGCTCACAATCCACTGTACTGCTTGTCAAGTTTTCACTGGGCACATGGCCCCCCAGTTAAGTGTACAGCGTCCAGGCTCCCTTTGCAGCTAACTTGGCGTGCCTGGGTTTTGGCTAATGGGATGCAAATGGAGGTGGTATTTGCTACTTCCAGATCTGTGGCTTCCCCTTCCCCTACCACCTCACTCCAGGAAGGAATGTGGAGGAGGTGGAGGGTACAAGCTGGCTAAAGATGCAGAATCTGAGGCCCCTCACCTTGGATCAGAATTCCCACTTTACCAAGAGGCATGGAAGATCTGTAGGCTCTTGAGCTTGGAAAGCACTACAGGATGAAAAGAAACAAAATAGAAGGACCCTGGGTCTCCCATTAACTTCACAGAACAGAGCAGCTTTCTAGTCTTGGATCACTTACCTCAGAAATGTTCAGTAAGAGACAAGTTTCTATTTTATTCAAACCACCTTATTGAGAGTCTCTGTCTTCCATCAGTTTAACCTGTACCCTACTGAAAAGTCATTTCAAGGAAATAAACACCCCCCACACATTAGAAGTCAAGGGCAGAAACACTCCCCAGTTGCACTCACTAAGCAAAGCAAGGATTCCTCCAAGAATTCCCAGAATGGCAGAAAGTTGCAATCCTGCTTCCAGTGGATTCGCCCTCACACAGTTGTTGACAGCCCCTTCACAGTCACACACAATGACGTCCAGGGTGGTCACCTGGTCTTTGTTCTGGTTATCCATGAGTTTGAGATTGATTTTGTAGTCACCAAACTCTAGAGTTTTCTTTGGTTTCAAAATGAGAGACTCTTGACCTGGGAAAAGCAAAGCAAATAAAAGACTGGACCAGGGGAAGGGGGAAAAAAATCCGTTGTAAAATGGATTGTTAGGGAATGAAAGACATCCCAGAGCTGAGGGAAGAGAGCAGACCGGCATGGGGGTTTGATTAATGGGTAAGATGTGACAAAGCTAGATGCCAGGAAAGGGACCTTGGTGCCATGCCTCAAATGTAGAGAGAACTAGGAACAAATATTAAAGGAAAGGTCTGGCACATGGAGCAGGAAGGGAAACTCAGACTGGGGAAAGCTGAAGGAGAACCTCAGCAGGCAGAACTTAGCTCTCACCTGGGTCGCTGTATTCAATGGTCCAGTTGACACTGGCCCCGTGGGTTAGCTCGGCCGTGAAGGGAAAGGTATTGGGGAGGAGGTCTGGATCAATGATGTTGATGAATTGGGGTTGGGGATCCTTTTGGCAGAAGTGCAGATTCCGAGGCTCAGGAATGGGAGCATTATCATTCACATCAGAGAGGACCAGAAGAAGGGTCCCCGTCCCAGTGGCAACTGGAGAACCTACGAGAAAATACAACTTAGGAACACCGATGACTCCTCATCACTTCCCAGAAGGCCAAATCTTTTATCCCTGCAAGTCAGTGGTACCTCACCACACCCCACCCTAACTCCAGAGCCTCTGTCCTCCTGGTCCTGGGCCCTTCACGGCCAGCTGGGCAGCTTTCAAACAAGTTCACGCCCCACTGTGGGAACAACTATTCAGGATATTCCTCAAGATGCCCTCCTTCTTCCTCTTGGTGTAACTTTGTCCATTCAATAAAATTGATTTGCTCCAAGAAGTCCTCACTGCCCGCCCTCCAATCCTACCCACTTTTCCTTTTCTGAACTTCATGCCACTTAAGGTCATTACCAAAGGGGAGAACCTTTTGAAATTGTTACATTCCTTTTTGTACTTCTTTGACACCCTACACCAAGCATGTAGTAGAAGAGGAAACAGATGCTTGAGGAGCTACTATCAATATTACTGCATGATAGCAAACAGTAGTAACAACAGAGGAGCCTACCTCAGACTTACAAATAAGTACGCCTGATGGCAAGACTATCATTTATTTATTTTATTTTTTTGGTGGACCAGGGTTTGAACTCAGTGCTTCAGGCTTGCAAAGCAGGCACTCTACTGCTTGAGCCACCAGTCCACTTCAAAGCAAAAAAGCAAAAAACAAAACAAAACAAAAAACTATCATTGAGTTATATCCCTAGCCCCCAAAATTTAAACTTTAACAAAATGTATATTTTTTAATAAACACAAATAAACAAAAGCCTATAAGCCAGTATGTATATAAATGTACTTAAATACATAGAAACCATCCACAAGAACTCGCACCTAACTGATGATAAGATTTTTGGTACTGCAAATGCCATTGTTTAAGAACAGAAAAGAAAGGATGAGTGCATGCCTCCAAAGGAGGCAAGCTGGCCAGGAGGACAAGGCAGCTGAGGCCCTCGCCAGCACCCATACCATTGTCAGTAGCAATGATCAGAGCTGTGTACGTGTTGTTCTTTACATGCTCAAAGTTCTCTCTGTCCATCTCGGCCTGAGTGGAAATGACACCAGTCTCTGGATTAATCTTTAGCCAGTTGGCAGTATCCCTCCAAATCCGATACCTGAAAAGGCACAAGTTCTGGATTAGAATGGGAACAGCAAAAAGAATGGAGCTGAAGGAAGACAGACTCGTCTTCATTTTATAGTCACGTGTGAAAATGAAGAACCCTATATACATGCTGCTAGAATAAGAGCTGGGCATGGTGGTATACATCTGTAATCCCAGCACGCAGGAGGCTGAGTCCCTGTCTCAAAACACCAAAAAACTGCCAGAATAAAATAAAATGACCATCCATGTACCCTACATCTTGATTTATTTACCTCGTTTTTTTTTTTTTTTTTGCAATGCTGGGGATCTAACTCAGAGCATGGTGCAAGGGTCTACCAATGAGCTACACTCTCAGCCATTCATTGACCGATTGACCTGCTGTTAACATTTGGCCACATTTACTTTTTCAACCTGTATATTCTCACACACACACACACACACACACACACACACACACACACTCACACACTATCCTGCTTTGCTGAAATTGTGCTCCTTTACTCATTGATATTTCAGATGTGTGATCCTACGAATAAAGATCTCATACAACCACAAATTGCTTTTTAAGTCAGGAAATAAAACCCTGAGAGAAAACTATTATTGTATATATAGCATATATTCAGATTGTCGATTCCCCCCAAAATGTCCTTTATGGCAATCCCATTCTCAATTCCCAATCAGTATCCAATTCACTATCAGTAGCTAATATCTTCTCTGCCCAGTCCAGCCCACACAGAAATGGTACCAGGGTCCAGACAATTCTCCAGTGATCCAATAGACCATGTGTTGCATTTAGTTGGCATGTCTCTAGTTTCTATTAATTTGGAACTATTTCTTGGTCTTTCTTTTCTTTTGGTGGTACTGGGATTTGAACTCAGGGCTGCACACTTGCTAGGCAGGTGCTCTACCACTTGAGCCCCTCCACCAGCCCTGTTTTTTGTTGGGTATTTTTGAAATAGGTCTCATGAACTATTTGAGATGGTTTTAAACCATCATCCTCTTGATCTCTGTCTCCTGAGTAGCTAGGATTACAGGCCTGAGCCACTGACACCCAGCTGTTCTTTTCTTTCTTGATGCTGACAGTTTGAAAATGTGCAAGCCAGTTGTGTTATAGAATGTCCCTCAGTTTGAGTTTGAATAATTATTATTCCCTCAAAATTAAATCCAGGTTGTCCTTTCTTTGTGGGGTGCACAGAAGAAAACTACAGTGATGAGGATGTGACCTTTTCAGTGTATCACATTAGGAGGCACAAGAGGTCTGCTCTTTCGTTGGTGATGTCAGCTTTGACCACTTGATGTCAGAGAGGCCACTAAGCTGGCAGAGTGGCTCAAGTGTTAGAGCACCAGCCTAGCAAGTGTAAGGGCCTGAGTTCAAACCCCTACACATCAAAAAAAAAAAAAGGCCATTAGATTTCTTTCTTTGTAATTAATCAATAACCAGGACATAATTTAAGAACATCCTGCTCATCAATTAACTTTCACCCAGTGAATTTGCCATCTATGAGTAATTCCAGCCCAAAGCAATGGTTACTATACTATTCATTCACGATATGCTGGGGCTTGAACCCAAAGCCTTGTGAATGCTAGGTAAGTAATTATACCTCTGAGTTACACTGATGTGGGGTGGGTTGCACTACTAGCAACTAATGGTAAGCACCAGAAAAGTGAAATCTCCTGATCTTATGCAGCAAAAAAAAGAGAAAGAAAAGAAAAAATCTTTATGCAAAATACCGAGAGGATCCTGTTAAGGGGTAGCTTATTAAGAACACCAGCCAGCTGGGTGTGTAGCTCAGTGGTAGAGCACTTGCCTAGCATTTGCAAGGCCCTGGGTTTCAATTGCCAGCACTGGGGAAAAAAAAAAAAAAAAAAAAATTCTTCCAACACTGGGGAGGCAGAGACAGAAGGATGGCGAGTTCAAGGCCAGTCTATGTTATATACTGAGACACGGTCTCATACAATGCCATCAACTAAATATACTCAACAGTTTGGCCACATGACATTTCAGTCAACAGTGGACTGCATACATGATGGTAGTCTTACAAGATTTTGTTACCTAGTGATGTTACAGCTATCTTAGCTTACATGACAAATTCTATGTTTCCACAACAATGAGCCTATCCTTGTCATTAAGTAACACGTGACCGCATGTAACGGTATACAATTATAAATACGTAACAATACCCAGTTGCTGCAAGTCGAAGGAGAGAGCCTCCCACTTACGTAATCTTCTGGTTCATAAATGTGTCTGGCTCCCGGGCGGTGTAGGAGGTGATTTCCAGGCCCACGCCAAAGTCTTCAGGCACTTCCACTCTCTTTTCAGGAGGCACAAAGACGGGGGCTTCATTCACGTCTATCACATCCACAGTAACAGTGGCTGTGGAGGTCACTAGAGTCACCGCAAAGGGGGCCTCATTGTTCACTGTAACATGTAGCACATACTGCTGCTTGGCCTCAAAATCCAAGCCCTGGAGAGCAGAAAAAGTGAGGGTAAAAATAAAATACAAGTAGCTGGAGGTGTAGGTCATGTCTGGAGTCCTGAGTTTGACCTCCAGCACTCTCCTCCATCCACCCACACACCACTCATCAAACAAGCAACGTTTTATGTGAGTGTATAAAAACAAAATACTTAGGGAAGCATGGTTCAAGCAGTAGAGCACCTGCCCAGCAAGTGCGAAGCCCTGAGTTCAAACCACAGTACTACCAAAAAAAAATTTTTTTTTAAATCCTTAATTACTGGTTTGGGTTGATAATGTACCAGTGGTTGTCAAACACGACTGCCTGCTTGCTGAGGAGGATATTGAAGCTCTGAGGCTATTCCCAGTCATCTGTTAACTCTGACTAAACTCAATGAGCAACTCATTCCACTTCTTAGTTTTCAAGTTCAAGTCTCTAGGACATTTGTTTAAAAAGTGCTACTTCTAAAATAGCCAAGCCAAGTCAACCAGGTGGCCATGGACTGGGGGAAGGCAAATGTCCCTGGGAGAGAGCTTCTTAAAGCCATTGGTACTTCCTCTTCAATTGTAGGAGTCACTGCATGCCCCACATGCAGTCCGTCAGAATCTGGAAAGCTTCTCCCATGCTCCGCTTTTCCCCATGCTCCCAGTGCTAAGACCCCTGAGAAGAAGCCAGGGACAAGGGAGGGACACTGCTGGGCTGCTGGTTTCTACATCCTGCCAGGCACCAATACAAACCTTAGCTGTTTTCAAAATGCCATCATTGGTTTCAGGATCTGTAACAACAACAAATTGTTGTTCTTGATCATTTAATATGGTGTACACAGCCTGCCACGCCAGGGTGCTGGGGACATCACCATCGGTCACTTTGAGGGTGGTAATGACAGCACCGGCCTCATTCTCATTCACCTGGCCCAAGTACTGCAGAGCAAAGGAAAAGGAGAGTCATTGGCGATACCCTGATCCAGAGGGTAGAATCAGGACTTGGAGAGGACTAAAAGAACCATTCTGAGTACAAGCCCAGAGGAGATGTGACAGAGTAAGGTCAGGTGGTGAAGCACCAGTCTAGGAGGAAGCGCCTACCCTAGGCCCAGGAGAGGTGCTCACGGCCACTCAGTGGAGCAGCCAGCACCCTACTCCATGAGTCCCTGAAGGGCTTTCCAAGGCCCTGACTTCCAAGACCCTCAACACATGCTGGCCTGGTTGCTGACTGTGATCTTAGTCACATGCAAGGCACTGTGGTTTAGCCACCCCTCAATCCAGCCCTCATCTATTCTGTATCATAATCTTCATAAGAACAATGCCTGACCATTACATTCCTCTGCTGAAAACCCTTTGACAATGTCCCCTTATGCTCAGGACAAATTCTAAAATTTTTACCCCAACCTAAAGTCCTCTGGGTCCTGTCTTACTTTGTTACCTCTACTTGGGTCCCACCCTCCAAGACAGGATCTTGCTGTGTGGCTCATGCTGGCCTGGGACTCACTATGTATCCGAAGCTGGCTTTGAACCCATGATTCCCTGCCTCAGCCTCCCAGTGGCTACATTACAGATGTGTGCAGCCCACACCCAGTGAGCTGCTTCTTAATTTAGGGCATTTTGCACATTTTGATCACTCTTTCCCTGACCTGTTTGCAATTCTTAATGTGAATGTCAACAATTGTGTTTGTGAAGCCTCCTTGTACTCACAGTGAGTAGGTTAGTAAGCAGACCACTGCTAATTACCTACAAATATTCATTCCCCTCTTCTTCACTAACTGTATGTAGACAGCAACAATGTATCCAGCAACTTACTACATGCCCTGCAGACAGTAACAACTACCAATGAGATGTAAGTGCAGCATGTGGAATGAGTTGTCTCAGAAATGTCTTTAACAAGAGGACTTGACTCAGCAGCAATGCCTTTTGTGACCTTTGCCTCTTTCCCATTTGGAACATGGGCATGACTGGCTGGAACTGTGGCAGCCACCTTGGTCACAAGGTGACATGGAGGATAAAAGCCTTGAAGCAAGGGATGATGGAATAGCAATTATCCCTGGGCTTTTTTTTTTGACAAAAGAGAAAAAAGTCAACTCTATTTGTGTCAACCATAATAGTCAAGCCTGTGTTATTAACTATTAAATCATCTTCTAATTAATTTAATAAGATTACAGTTCTTCTGTTTGAATGTGGTTAATATTCTTGGCATTCCATCGTTCCTATAAGTTGCCTAACATCTTCCTGGCCAGACTACAGGCTCCATGAGACAAGAATCTTTGCTTTGTGAGTCTATCTCCCAAGGTGAACACAGTGCCTAGCATAAATTTAGAAACCTGACAAGCCTTGCTACAAAGATGTACAATATGGGAACATTAAGTGCCTTTTGCAGCTTCACAATCCCGTGCCAGTGGGCGCCAGGCCCAGTATGGAATTAAGATATTCAAAGATGGTGGCTACTCCAATGTTCTGGCTTCTGTGTTGAAGTTGACATTCACCAGTCTAGGGAAGAGTTTCCCAAGGGTTAACCAATGTGCCATTGTGAAACATAAGACTTTTCTTTTGGAAACCAGCTAACAAGGTACAGAATTACCATACCATGGTGGGGTTGAAGATGGGAGGGTTATCATTGATGTCGGTGACCGTGATCACAGCTGTTGCTGTTGTGCTTAAGCCTTCACCTTGAAGGTCAGCAGCTTCAACTATCAGGGTATACTCGGGGTAACTCTGCAGACAGATCAAATACATCCGAGTCAGGATCAACAACAGCCACCCCAAGCCCAGCCCAGCCCAACCTGTGACACATACAGTAAACCCATCTTATTTGTGGGCTTATTAAATGCAGTTTTGATCAAGCACAGTCGAAAAATAATAAGGAAAAAAAAATTTGAAAACAAGAATTTTAAATTCCCATGCACACATTCCACAGCTAGGCGGATGCAGAGAAGCCTTTGGGCAGTCCCATGTTATCGTCAGTTGTGCTGACAAAAATCACTTTGTGATTTTCTGCCCTTCATTCTGTGAAAACCTGCTTTCCCACCATGCCCCCCACAAAAAAAAACCCCAAGATTTAACTTAACATGCTTAATTTAAGTGGTAAGGTGAAAATTTCAGATTTGTTGGAAGGCGGCATATTTTTAGAGGACACTGGGCAGGGTTGTGGGAAAAGTGAATCCAGCATCCACAGTACAGCACTGAACTCCATGCTCAATCCTGAGCATGCATGGTTTCTCTTCAAGTCTCCTGAAAACATAGACCCCAAGATACCAAGGGTCTACTGTACAGAATCAGAGCGGTGGTCATCTGCTATGAGGGCCAGCCACCCGCATCCAGGCACAGAACCTCTGGGCAGATATTTGGAGGCCAAATTGGCCCATCACACTGGCCTCCGCAGTTTTGAACTGTCCATGGGAATCACACTAAATACATTTGCCTTCAGCTCCCATCAGATCCTCCCAAGCCTGACCCACCTCTCGGTCCAGCCCAGGGGTGACCACACTGATGACCCCTGTTTCCGGGTTGACAGTGAACATATTCGCCACAGGCAGCTCAGGGTCTTGGCTGAGGATGCGGTAAGCAATGGCGGCATTGTAGGTGTTCACGTCATCGTCCGCATCAGTGGCCGAGATCTGCATCACGGAGGTTCCTGAGGGCATCAGAGGAGAGGGCACTCAAACAGGTTGCATGGCACTTTGAGATTAGCTCAACACCATTCACCAGATCCCACTCTCGGTGATGAAGCAGGGGTCCTGGAGGCTTTGTTACAATGCATGGAGTCAAATTTGGAAGTTCTCACTACATTGCTGGGAGAGCAGAAAGCACCACGGTAAATAAACTGGGTTTGGAGAACTTAACAGGAGGGTTGGGAAGAAATAACCTTTAACTAAAACATCTTGACCTGTCTCATATTGGGCTGAATGGAATGTAAAGTAAGAAAACTTCCAAAATTCGCCACCATTGGCTTCTCAGTCCAGTTTCATGAAAGACAATAGTTGTTTGAGGTCACTGCCTTCAAGGTGGAAGGAAAAAACTTATGTAACACAAGGGACAATGTGTTAGTGTTCAGGATCGCTACGTAACTTTTGTTGTTGTTATTTTGGCAGTACTGGAATTTGAACTCAGGGCCTCACTCTTGCTAGGCAGCCACTCCATTGCTTGAGCCACTCTGCCAGCCCACTTTTTGGTCTTTTTGAGGCCGTGTCTTACCATGTAGTCCCGGCTGGCCTCAAGCTCATGATCCTCTTGCCCTGTTTCCCAAGTGCTGGGATTACAGACATGCAATGCCACCCAGGCTCTCTAAATAACTCTTAAGAATCAGGGAGAAAACTAGAACTAGCCTAAGTGAAATAAAGGGCAAAAGACTCAAATGACCAGCAGACATATGGTAAGATGCTTAGCTCAGAAGTAATCCCAAAAATGCAATGTAAATTGTGCTGAGTTGTACTACACGCAAAAGCTAGGGCTGGGCATAGTGTCTTATGCCTGTAATCCTTGCTACTCAAGAGGCAGAACCAGGAGGATTACAGTTCAAAGCCAGCCTGAGCAAAAAGTTAGCAACATTCCATTTCAACAAACAATCTGGGCCTGGATGCACATGTCTGCCATCCCAGTTACATGGGAGACATTTGTACAAAGGTTGTGGTCCAAGGCTGGCCCTGGGCAAAAAAGTACAAGACCGTATTTGAAAAATAACCAAAGCAAAAAGGGATGTGAGTGTTACTCAAGTGGTAGAGCATCTACCTAGCGAGCATGAGGCCCTGAGTTCAAGCCCCAGTACCACCAAAAAAAAGCCTAACAATTCCAGGATAGACAGACACCTAGATATAGATATATCAGTTAGTGATGGGAGTATATATTGGTTCCAAACACCTTGGAAAAGCTGCATGTCCTACAAATGAGCAGCAATCCACTGCTGTGGATAGGAACCCCAGAGGAATTCTTATGTATTTGTACCAGGAGACATAATTTCGTTTTTGCAGTACTATCGTTTGAACTCGGGGCCTCATTCTTGCTAGACAGGAGCTCTATCACTTGAGTCACACCGCCAGCCCTGTTTTGTGTTGAATATTTTTGAGACAGGGTCTCACAAACTGCCTGGGCTGGCTTTGAATCGAGATCCTCCTGATCTCTGCCTCCTGAGTTGCTAGGAGCATAGGCTAGCCACCAGTGCCCCGCTCCAGGAGACATACTTAAGGATGTTCTGAGAACCTGTTCAGAATAGCAAGAGACAGAGAACACCAATTTCCATCAACAGTGGAATGCATAAATGGTTTTACATAAATATTATAGTAACCACAGAAGGGAATAATATATATAGCGATAAAAATGAATGACCTATTACGATGGGCAACCAATGAAAGAACCATATGTCTGTAAAACTGAATGAAACGTATAGAAATATATATATAGTGTGAGGCCATATGTGTAGTTTTAAAATAGGCAAAATTAATAGTTATTATATAGAAGTAAATATATACATGATAAAAGTTAAAGAAAATCAAGGGAATGATTACCACAAAAGCCAAGGCTATACAATTATTATGTCAACTAAAAAAAATTTTTTTTCTTTTATTATTCATATGTGCATACAAGGCTTGGGTCATTTCTCCCCCCGTCCCCACCCCCTCCCTTAAAAATTTTTTAAATACATTTTTGATGGTACCAGGGTTTGAACTCAGGCCCTTATGCTTGCTAGGCAGGCTGGCTCTACCCCACCCCTTTTGCTTCAGTTATCTTTGGGGCAAGGAGCTATGTTTATGTCCAGGCCAGCCTGGAGCTCAATCCTCCTATTTACACTTCCCAATAGTTGGGATGACAGGCATGTGCCTCTGCGCCCAGCTATTGGATGAGGTGAGGCAAGAGGGCGGGGGTGGGGGGTCTCACTAACTTTTGTCCAGACTGACCTTGAACTGAGATATTCCTGATCTCCATCTTCCAAGTAGTTACAGATATGAGCTACTGTACCCAGCTTAAAAAATTAATTTTAAAGTCAGGGCAATGGTTATCTTTATGGGGAAGAGACAGAATGTGATCAAGAAGGGTTGTACTGCCAGGTTGTACTCCACTCCTGTAATCTCAGCACTCAGGAAACTGAGACAGGAGGATCGAAAGTTCGAGGCTATCCTGGGCTACAAGGTAAGACCTTGCCTCAAAAATTCAGAGCACGCTTGTTTGGGGTTGAAGGTACCAGTAAGGATCTGTTGTTTAATTAAGAAGTTTGTTCTTCAACTGTCTGTATCTTAAATGTGTTCCTAAAAGTAGACTGTTACATATATAGACACAGTGGCTTCTACAGAACATCTGTCTGTATAAAGGGTCAGCTTCAGTGGCCTGACCCCAAGCTCCAGCCCCAACCCTTTGGGGTCCAAAGAATGGAAATGTCTTTCTGGGCACTCAATTGTTTGTGATTGGGCATACCTGGAAGAGCGCCTTCCATGACAGAGCCCTCAAAGACCTGCTTGATGAACTCAGGCTTGTTGTCATTCTGATCTGTCACTGTGATCACAATTTCCATCGGATCCTCAACTGCATTCCCATTGGATGACACGGCATGAGAGAAGAGCTGCAAGAACCAAAGAGAGTGTGTGTGTGTGTGGGGGGGGGGGTTCACTTGGGCCCTGACAAGGAAGAGGTAGGAGAGGGATCTGTCAGAGTGGCTCTGTCTGGCCTCCCCTTCTTCCCATGGTGAGACCTCCAGCAGGGCTGTGGCTTTAGTAAGGTCATGACTGGTTGAGACCCATGGCTAGAGAGCATGCCCACCAAGTCAGACCTCCCATTTTCCACATGAAGCCTGGGGTGTGAGAACCAGCACTAAATGTGAAAAGTGACTACCTGAAGCACTCACTTCAGTCAGGGTAAAATGTCTATGGCCACTCCAGTCCAGGGTTTCCTCAGATTTTTCTGCATTTGGCATTGGCACATTAGCTCGTTCCTTCCTAAGCTGATATTGTGAGTAAGGCCTAGAAATGGGTCTTGCTTCTGGAAAGCATCACTATCCTCTTTCTTTAGGTAAGAACAGGTTAGCATCTTAACCTAAACTCGTAAGTGATATGAGGACTCTCCCCTATTCTTTTCCTAAGAAGGAAGAAAATGAACAACTCTAACCTGTCCCAGCTTCCTCTGTCATTTCCCCTCATCAACACATCGAAAGACTTTAACTTAAAGATCTCATATAGCCAGAGCATCTGATCTGGGGATCCAACATGGGTTGATCAAACAATGTTGACCCCATGGTCAACAAGCTTCTACACGACACTCACGATGTACTTGGCAATGCTTTCTCTGTCCAAGGGCTCTGTCACCCTCAGCCATCCTGTTTCTCTTTCAATAGTAAACACACCAACAGGGGGTTTGTCAGCTCCTTGGCCAGTGATGCTGTAGAAAACCTTGGTTTCTTTGTCCCTGTTGGATTTGATCTGAAGACGAAACAGAAAGAAAGAGAATTGGCAAGGAAAGATCCTGACATTGGGTCTTTGCCCTTTCACTTTTCCCAGTCCTTCAATGCCAAATTCCTCCCAGGGAAATAGAGAACTTCCTTCTCTACCTGAACCAGATCTTTAGGGAATGGGCCTTTCTCATTTTCTGGGCAGCTGATGGGAGGGATAACCCAGTCTCTCTTCTGTCTTCTGAGGCCATGGTGAGAGCCGGGGAAGGTAAGCACTTCTGTGTGATTTCCAGAGCGGTCCTAAAAGAAAAGAGATCATTCATTCAGCAGAGGTGCTGCAGGGCTAACAGTCCAACCTATTTGATCAGCGTCTCCAGTCATCTGAGAGGAGTACTTTTAATGTAGTGACATATTCTGTTCTCGGTGACAACTTATATATACCCCTCAAAATGAACAGCCAAAACAAAATCAATGAACCCTTTGCCACAGCTATAGTTTAGACATTGAACCCAAAGGTTCCTTGCTTTAAAGGATTGGTCCCCAGGGTGGTGCTATGGAGAGGTGGGAGCTGGTCTTCCAACTAGTGGAGGTATGACCATGAAGGGGATTATGGGAATCCCAGTGTCCTCTTCTTCCTCTTCACTTCCTGGGTTATGAGGTAAGAGGTTTGCCCTTCCACATGTTCCCATAAGTGCTTCCCTTACCAGAGGACCAAATAACACGGCTGCTTGATTTTGAACAGGAACCTCCAAACCGATGAGCCAAAAATAAGCCTTTTCTCCTTATAAGTCAATTGCCTCAGATATTTTGTCATAGTGACACAAAGCTAATACAGCCACATAAAAAAGACTGCATTCCCTTCTGATCTTTCTTAGTGTCCAGAATTCTAGCAATCATTTCGCATACATGATTATAGGTCTGAGGGTTAATACTGTAATTTATAAGGTATTTCAAGCTTATGTAATATATGTCATTTTTATAGCAACATTATACTCTAGTTATTTAATATCAGAGATTTTCAATAGCAAGGTATTCAAGTGTTTTTCTTTTTTTATGTTTTTTTTTTCCAGGGATATAATTCCCCAAAGTGGAGTTATTAGCCAAACAAGTTTTGGGAATTGTCTTAGGAACTACTTTGTGATCAATACAAATCTCTTAATCACACTGGTTATATTTATAAGGTTTCCATTTGTTCTAACTGAAGCCACTGGGATGGGAGACAAAACATCCTTTGAGACATATATAGAACTGTTTTCATGTGCAAAAAAGATAACTTTGTGCATACTCAGGGAAATAAGAGAGCTGAGATGAAGGGAAAATACCTTCCAAATTGTTTAAGTGTTTTGGGGTTATGAATGGTAACACGATCATGTTTCCAGAGGAAAATTCCATCTCCCACTGTCCACATGAGGGTGTTCACTCAGTAACCATCACTGGTCACTGTTTGACGTGTTTGATTCAAGCACCATTTCCTGACTTTATTTTAGATTCAAAAGATAAAGATTAGATATAAGACGTGACCAGGTATCATTCCAGGACCCAACCCTGCACAATGGTCACAAATGTGTGTGTGTGTGCCCCTGCTGCCCTTGCATTTGTCTTGGACAGAGGCAGACCAACCTGGGGCAAAGATAGGTTTCTGGAGCTGGGCTGCCTGGTTTTGAATCCTCACTCTGCCTAGCAAGTGTGAGGCTAAAAGTTCAGACTCTAGTACCAAGGAGGGCAAGGGGAAGGGGAAGGGGAAGGGGAAGGGGAAGGGGGAGGGGGAGGGGGAGGGGAGGGAGGGAAAGGGAGGGGAGGGGGGGCGGAGGGAAGGGAAGGGGGAGGAAAGGGAAGGGAAGGGAAGGGAAGGGAAGGGAAGGGAAGGGGAGGGGGTGGAGGGGGAGGGGATGGAGGGGGAGTGGGAGGGAAGGGAAGGGGGAGAGAAGGGAAGGGAAGGGAAGCTGACTCTCAACAGTGTATCTTAGGTATTCTTGGGTACTAGATTGAGATAATGCACTAAAACAAGGTAAAAGAACTAGAAAGTTAGATCTACTCTAACAAAAATTAAAAACAAGATCAAGATTGCTACCCCTTCTCTTAATACAGTACCACCTGGCTCCACATGGGTCTTTTTTGACATATGGTTTCCCCATGTAGTCCAGACTGGCCTCAAACTCGAGATCCTCCTGCCTCAGCCTTGTAGGAGCTGGGATTACAGGCACCATGCCCAGTCCTTCTTCCTTTCTTATTAAAAACAAAAGAAAATTTAAAACTTCCTCTCTTCTTCTCTAATATGTACCCCAGTTTTGTATCCAGCAATATACTGAAGTAAAAGACTGCATTTTGGGGCTGGGTATGAAGCTTAGTGATAGAGCGCCTGCCTAGCACATGTGAGGTCCTGGATTCAATTCCTAGCACCACAAAAAAAACTACATTTTGTTGTCTGTGTGTTTTTGAGACAGGGTCTCACTATCTAGCCCAGACTGTTGTGGAACTACATGCTGAGGCTCTGTCTCCAAAAAAAAGCCAGGTGCTGAGGACAGCAGAGCAGAAAGCAGGGTGGAAACAGAGTGGGGGGTTGGGGGAGGGAGGGAGGGATTTGAACTTAGGGCTTACACTTTGAGCCACTCCACCAGCCCTTTTTATGATGGGTTTTTCAAGATAGGGTCTCACAAACTATTTGCCCGGGCTGGCTTCTAACTGTGATCTCCTGCTCTTTACTTCCTAAGTAGCTAGGATTACACCGAGACCCGGCTACAACTTATCTTTTAAATTAATTAAAAAACAAAACAAAACTGGGGGACAGTACTGGGGTTTGAACTCAGGACTTTCCTCTTGCTCGGCAGGCACGCTACAACTGGAACCATACCCCCAATCCACCTTTGGACTTCTTTCTTCACTTAAAAGAGAATATATTACAGAAACCACTATAATTCGGGAATTTATATAATATACTTGGACCAAATCCTGACACAGCAGAAATAGAGGTAAAGTCAGCAAAGATGGGGAGGGAAAGCTGGAGAAGAACCAAGCTTGAAACTATGTCTTGGTCATTAGAGGCCGCCACAGACAGCTGCCATGCAAGAATTTACTGTGGTGAATTTACATCAGTGAAGAGCCAATTGGACCCCTGTTCATATAGTTCAACTGAGTTCCTTGCTTTTCTGGTCTAATTACACCAGGGAGAAAAACTAGATCTATCATGAAGACTATTAAGTTCCATGCATCTCAAGAGTCTTCAGGGAGAAAAGCAGGAGCCAAATGTAAAGGCTTTGGCATTTACAGCACAATCCACACTTTTGAGGCAGGAGGCAGGATATAACTACAGTGTTCCCCAGAGAGACACTTTGGGAAGAAGCGTCACAGGAGCAGTTTCAAAATTGGCAAAGACATTGGACTTTTGGTAACAACCTCCAGAAACATTCTTGCCAAGAACCTAGCCAGACAATAATCTTTCCATTAATAGCCAATGTATTTGTTTATCTGTACACTATTTCCTGGGCTGCTGGGACATGCCAGACCCAATGGCCAGGCCCTGCAATTCTGTGCAAGGGTCTGTGAAAGTCTAGAGGGCCAAATGCTTCCCACTGCAATTCCCCTGCTTTGACAGCACGCTCTGGTGAAGACAGGAAGAGCAAAATGAACAGAGACTCCACCTCTCATTCAGTTGGTCTCCAGGAAGGAAATGACACCAACTGCTAACTATCAATGAACAGCTGTTACTGTAGGCCCCATATCCACAGATTCCACATCCATGGACTGAACCAACTGCAGAAATGAAAAAAAAAAAACAAAAACAACTTAAAAAAAAAATTGGGGGGCAATGCTGAGGTTTGAACTCAGGGCTTTGCACTTGCTAGGAAGGAGCTCTACTGCTTGAGACACACCTCTGGCCCTGAAATTACTTATTTATTTATTTTAATTTTGTCTTAGCTGGGTGCTGGTGGCTCATGCCTGTAATCCTAGCTACTTGGAAGGGTGAGATCTGAGGATCTCAGTTCAAGGCCAGCCTGGGCAAACCAATGATTTCAAGAGGATATGGGAAGTTCTATGCAAATACTATGCGATTTTATATAAGGGATTTGAACAAACATATTTTGGTGCCCACCAAGGGTGAGGAGGATCTGTGGATACCAAATGTATATGCTTAGCACGCTCTTGGCATTTCTCATGTATTCATTCATCCAATCCTCGAGATTACCTCCATTTTACAGACAAGGAAACCCAAGCCTAGACAGGTTAAGCAACTGCTCCAGGGTTATAGGATGGGGGTTGGGAATGAGAGGTGGGTGTGGGTGGCAGAAGATTCATTCCCAGGCAGAGCCCAATGCTGTTTACATGACCTGATCCCCACAACCCAACAACACCCACCCACATACAGCCCAAACAGGAGTTAGACAGATAGCCCTCAACTGGGTGGGGATGGGGGGTGATTTTGCATGTCAGTATCTAGAGCTATTTTTGGTTGTCACAACTGGCAGATGCTCCTGGCATCTAGCAAATTAAGGTAGGGGATGCTGTTCAACATCCCAGGGTGCACAGGAGCCCACACAGAATTATCCATCCATCATCCAGCACAAAATGTCCATGGTGACAAGGCTGAAAGAGAAAGGCAGCAGCCTAAAACAATAGTGTGCTTCTAAGAAACAACCCAGACGTACCTGATGGTGGTGACGGTTGTGGTGGTGATGGGGCCCGACTGCCTTCAGTGTCACTTTGCTAGACAACTTTCTGTAGGTGGAGTCCCAGGAGTGGATGAGGAAACTGGTCTCCGGTTTATGAAGCTGTAGAGGCCGTTTGACTGAGATGACACCATCTGTGTCCACTTTGAATCGGAGGTCATCAGAAATGTAGACTGTCCTTGGTTGACTAGTGCATCCTTCAAAGCTCACTGTGGGGCAGAAATCACAGCAGTTAGAAAACGGGACAGACTACAGAGAGCATTCCTTCACAAGCCATATCTGGGGCTGGAGCAACAAAGCTATCCAAGGAATCCAAATCATCCCTAAGTTCTTCACAATTATTGGACAACTGTTCATTGTGGTGATTTTTTTTTTCCTCTCATCTGCTTTTCAAGTGAAAAGAGTATCTGGTCTAGAAAGTAACTTTTCTTTTCAGTATCAAAAATAGGGGCCTTGGTTTCAAATGGGTTTGGCCGATATGCAAACAGATCATAAAATGATTGAGAAGGGCTTTGGCTATCTAAGGGGTCCAAAAGTTGCTTAAGAGGCCAAGATAGACTAGATGTTGTAGATGTTTACATTTAAATCAATAGCATACATTTCAATAAACAGTGGAGGCATTAAGAGACAATATGGCATAATGGTTAAGAGCAGACTGTACCAAACTACCTGGGTTCAAGTCCCACCTCTGTCATTTACCAGCTCTGTGACTTTGGACAAGTTATTTAGCCTCTGTGCCTCCCTCTCTTCATCTGTTCAGTGAGGGCAAAAATGGTTATTACCTACTAGGTTACTTTAAGACATATAGAAAAATTCCTGCCAGATAATAAATGCCATACTAAAGTTTGTTAAATAAAAAAAAATTTTAAGTAGTGTTGGTCAATCATTGACTCAGCCCCCAGGAGTATTATACAAAAGGCATTGATAACAGTCCATATTTATCAAGTGCTGGTTATATGCTTTTTATCTGGTGATGCCTGCTTATGATTGGATAAGCACAGGAGGATGGTTGTTGGGAGCTAATGAAGGTTTCATAGAAAAGATTTCAACCTGATCACACAAGGCAGTAAGACAAATGCAAAAGATGGAGAAGGATTAGTTGCGTGGAGGGACCTATGATCAATTAAAACTCTAAAAAGTAAGTATCGATACCCAGGCTGGGGGCATGGCTCAAATGGTAGAGCATCTGCCTAGCACATGCGAAGTCCTGAGTCCAAACCCCAGTACCTCAAAAAAAGTATTGACACCCAAAGCTGAAGATGTTGTCATGAAAAGTTTCTACATTAAAAATCAACGTTCCAAAGGATTCAGTCAACAGGTACCCATCAAGCTACATGCCAGACACTGTGCTGGGCTCTAGGAACAAAATGTGAGCAAAATGGGTAAGGTGCCTGCTCTCGTGGAGCTTATGGTATGGAGAAAGAGATGGACACTCTAGAATCAATAACGTCAGGGAGTGGTTAGTGCTAGACATGAAGGAAGCATATCTAAGAGGGTGATACAAGGTGAGCAGAATGGAATCTGGGGAAGGTGTAACTTATATTGAAATGCAGGCTTCTCTGGAGGTAGAAGCATCTGAGTTGAGACCTGAAGGAGCCAGCCTTGCCAGAAACCTGGTTCAAGAGCCTTCCAAACCCAGCATGGTGGTAGGCACCTGTAGTCTCAGCTACGTGGAAGGTTGAATTGGGAGGATTGCTTGAGTTCAAGAGTTCGGGGCCAGTCTGGGCAACATAGCAAGCCCTTACTTCTTAAATAAATAAATTTTACAAACAAAAGAGACATTTAGCAAAGAACTTCCCAGGCAGTTGGAAAGACTTCATTCTAAGGAAACTAAGAAGTTAGCCTTAGTCTGTTTTCCTCTTTCAAATAATTGCCCCCACCCCTCCAATGGAATTTCTATTTCAGTCTCAGCTTTCTTCTACAAAAATTCCTGCTGTTATGCCTATTTTACAAGGCTAGACATCTCTACATTCTGGAGAATCAAGTTTCTGCCTGAAAGCCCCCAAGCCACCCTGGATGCCTGAGCTGCTATTTTCATTTCTTCCACCAGGGGCCGCCCTTGCACACATGTCTCAAGCCAAAAGTTTTGCTCTGGCCGGAGAGTAAAGACCATTATGCATATTTAGGGGGGTGGGTACCACGATTATCTGTATTTTGAAAGTGAAACCAAGGTTCAGAAAGGTTAAGAAATTGACCTGGTGTTCCATATCTAGTAAACAGCAAAGCTGCAACTAGCACTTGAAGGAAACCAGAAAGTCACCCCAAAATATGCTTTCTTAACATAAATATTTTTGAGCTAAGAGCATTCGAGAAGCAGTAGCTGCACAAAGGTCTGCTGGAGCTGCCGTTTCTTTTACAGCCAGCCAGCACCTGGTCACCGGTGACTGGGAATTGCTGCTGCGTGGAACCCTGTAGACTTACATCCTAAAATAACACTCATCCTCCATTGGCTTTACACTCATCTGCCATCTCCTAGTGACTCTTTTGGAATTTACTACCCCTAGCCCAGATCCCTGTCTTACCGTTCTTCACAAGATTTATCATTCTTTGTCTAGAAAGTATAGAAGCTTTCTGTTTTGGCTGGTTTTTTTCAGATTTTCACTTTTGTAAGGGTCTTCACATAAATGTAAAGTTGAATAAAATGCATATGCTTAGCGGCTGCGTTGCCGGTGGCTCACATCTGTAATCCTAGCTACTGAGGAGGCAGAGATCAGGAGGATTGCGGTTTAAAGCCAACTTGGGCAAAGAGTTCATGAGACCCTATCTTGAAAACACCCATCACAAAAAAAAAAGGGGAGGGGGGCTGGTGGAGTGGCTCAGGAGGTAGACCCTGGGTTCAAACCCCAGTACACCACACACACAAAGGGCTGGCAGAGTGGCTCAACTATGAAACCCTGTGAGTTCAAACCCCAGACACCAAAACAGAACAGAATGTATATGCTTTTCCCTTGTTAATCTACCTGTCTCATAGTAAGACATCAATTAAAAACTAAGATGGAAGTTGAACTTCCACAGGTGTGTGGGATTACACAGCTGTTATCCCAGCAATTGGGATGCTGAGGCAGGAAGGTCCCAAGTTTGAGTCCAGCCTGGGTTACATAGGGAGACCCTCCCCGCTCGAGCCAACGATGAACTAAGATGGGGAGAGGTGATCTAAACCTTAGTTACCTCTGCCTCACACATGCTAGGCAAACACTTAGCCCCACCCCAGCCCCAGCCCTGGGCTATCTCTAAAGAAGGATCCTGTCTCCAAGTGAGGAGCTCGGGGGTGATAGAAATCTGGGGCCACCTGATACAGTAGCTGGGAATCTGCTCTGTGGCAAATAAACTAAGTGACCATACCAAGAAGAGAAGAGAGTTGACCCTCCCTCTTTGTTTAAAACAACTACAACATCAAGCTTCTACCCTTGCCCTTCCCAAACTTGAGGAGATGGGACTACAGTGAGCAGGGTACAGCTGTAATGATGAGAAGAAAGAAAAAAAAGGCCTGGTCTCAGCCAAGCATGGTGTGACACTCCTGTAATCCCACCTCCTCAGGAGGTAGAAGGAAGAGGAAAATGAGGTGAGCACATGCAAAAGGCCCTATCTCAAAAACAAAATACAAAAGAGAAGGGCTAGGGGCATGACTCAAGTGGTAGCAAGCAAGGCCCCAAGTTCTGTCCCCAGTACTGCCAAAAATAAAAATAAAAACAAAGAAAGAAAAAGAAGGACGCATCTCTGACACTTCCCCCAGATTATAAACCCAGATTCAGTCATCTTTTTTTTTTTGCTGGGTGAACTTAAACCAATAGATTAACCTCTCTGGGCCTCTTTAACATCAGAGGTACTGAAGTGTACCTCTTCAGGGTTTTATGAAAAGTAATCAGTGAACGTGATCACATTTTGTAAGCTGCAGGACAGTGTGGGAGGAAAAGATGGTTGTTATTTCTGTGCTTTTGGGTAGGCAAGACCAGGATTTGCTAAATGAACACATGAGCTATAAAATGACAAACAGAATCAAGAGGAGAAATGCCAAGTTCTCAAAGATACCACCCTTTAAGTCCAAACCAGGAATTTCTTTTCAAGCTAGAGCAAAATAAGGTGCTTTCCAAAGAATCTTCCCCACCCCAGCATAAGTGATGGGGCGACTGGGCTGTGTTTGGGAGCTTGTCGTGTAAGCAGGGAACAAGAGCTATTCTGGATTCCTGTTCCCAGCCAGGGCAGATCTGGGCATTGAAAGTTAAAATGAGCATGATTAGACTCGCCACGGGTGGTGGCCTGAAAAATGAAAATGGTTTTGCAAATAACTTGGTGGAAAGCACTTAACATGCTTGGGGCATCTCTTCTTAATGGTGGCTAAGCCTCCCCTTGGAGAAGTGACAGTAAGTATGACAGGGAACCCTAACCTGAATTTCCAGGTGCTCATTAAGACTCATTATCTCTCTGCAAAACCGGATCCTCTGGGCTGATAAATCACAAATTATAGGAAAGACCAAGGGGCTCTCCAGCCTCAATAAGACTCTGGAGGCTCCCTTCAACCCTGGTCTGGGCTGGGCTGGGTCAGAACGGTGGTGGTGGTGAACTCTGACACAGATGGGGGTGGGTAGATAATAGATGGCAAAATGTTGAAACCAGAGGGTCAGCACATGGGGGTTGGATATATTTGAACACCTCCATAAAAGGCTAACAGAGCTGGGCTCCAGAGGCTCACACCTGTAATCCCAGCTACTTGGGAGGGTCACTTGGTCTACAAATCAAATCCCAATACAAGACTTAAGACCCCCCCCCACACACACACACCCAGCCTTCTCTCAATGACAAAATCTTTTCACCACAGGAATATCATCAACCTTGTCATTATCATCATCATCATCACCATTTCCCTCATTGGAACGTACAACCCCAATTAATTAGCTTTAACTATTTTATGAACATTTCCAAATGTGTAGACTACCTCTATTTAAAGCACTTTACAAATATTAACTCAATGAATCCCAACACTCTGTGAGGTTGGTGCTCTTGGTATCTTCTTCTTACACATGGGGAAATGGAGATAGCTAGTAATAAGTAGCAGAGCTGGGACTTGAACCCACGCAGTCTGAGGATGCATGCTCCTGACTGTGCTTCATGCCTGTCTACAGATCGGGCCATTATCCTGTGCTCTGTGCATTCTATGTTCTGATTTAATCCCTGCCCCTCACCCCTTGGGAAGACATCATTAGCATCATTT